CGTTGCTTATCACTTCCTGGTTGCACATACCATGGAAGGGTTCTTCTGGAGGTACCTGAAAAGGAAATCGGATTAAAGGTGGTCTTAGAGACCTGAGAGCGTGACCACGGTGCCCAAGGGACAACTGCTTGAGGTCGGTCACACACAAATTTCTGTGAGTAATCTCCGTGTTACCTCCGTACTTGTTGAGACCTTACCGCCAGAGACAGATATCCGTGGGATAAGGCAAGGTGTGCATTTTTAGGGTCGACCTTTTCTAACACCACTCCTCCTTGTGGGAAGGCAGCATCGCTGTTATGCTGGTTGTCTGAAGGAAACACTTTACTACTGTCACACCTCTGTACAGTAGGCAGTACGACTTTCCTTTCAGACCTTGGGTTCGCTGCTTTTAATCTTACCGCTCTCCAATCGACCTACCTTGAGGAACGATTGTTGCAGCCAGTATAGCTCGATTGGTTCATCACGATAGGCAAGCTTGACCACCACGTCAAGGCAGCTCTCGGGTCTCTAAGACCACCTTTAATCCAATTTCCTTTCCAGGTACCTCCTAAAGAGTCCTTCCACGGTTTAGGCAACTGGAAAGTAATAACCCCCCTCATACATCCAACAGCACTCAAGACTACAGAAGATAAGATACCATACAATGTATGGTATCAATTATTGAGTTGCTTAGTCAACAAGTTTAGGAATATTACATATACATAGATATATTATCATATTTCTTTTTAGAAAGAACTGATTTCTAGATTTCTACTGATTATGAAATAAGAAGACAATAGATTTTAATGGAATTCTTAAACTTATATATTTTGAATCCAAATAACAGTAAACAAGATATAAATCTAATTTTCCCTTATTCAGAAAAAAACAACATTGAAATTGTAGAAAGTCAATTAAAACTATGAATTTCCATATGGATACAGATGAAATATGTAACATTAATCAATAAAAAAATATTTTAGAAAGACGATAAAATAATAGACAATTAAGTTATATAGAGTGAAATAATACTTTGGTTTATCAAATGTCACTTAACAAAAGGACAAAGCATACCATTACAAATTAAATAAAACTTCATACCTGTTGTACAAGTTAGTGACTATTTTAACTTATTCATTAAGTGAATGATACGTTGGTGTTGAAAACGAAGACTACTGGGTTAGAACCCTAGAATGAATATCAAATCTGGTATGTAGGCACATGCGTCTAATGAGTTGGAAATAGGACGAAACAAACGCCTTCCATCCCACTGCTAGTATTACTCCATCTCTTTTATATAACAACTTTTTGTTTGTTATAACAGATTACATTTCAGTGGGAATCATTTCTTATTATTATATTCAGTCAGTCAGTCAGCTACAACGTAGGACCAGGCACATATGTACATCGGTCCAGGTTGCCATACCTCATCCGCACAACAAGATGAACACCGGATTCATAGCAGCGGTTATGTCAAATGTGGTGATATATAAGAGAAAGATTGCATACAGAGATATAGTACAAGAAGAAAAAATTGGTTCGTAGAAAGAAAGGTATGAAGCGATTTTAATTTGTTAGTTTAAGGGAAGACAGGGAGTGTATACACCGACGCCATTGTTAGTTAGACACGTTAAATGATATGAATTAGAATCTCATACGATGACGTCACTAAATTTATTCTTTCACTAGCTTATAAAAAATTCGTTTATGACTGTTACATCCTGTTTTTCTTGAAAAAGTGGGTAAGATTCGTACTGTAGGCTAAGGAGTTTGGTGACATTCTGGTCAAATCGCTTAGCTCAAAAGACTAAAATCCTCCAAAGACGGCACTTTTGTTTAGTTCTTTATGATTATATCTTAAATTTTGATTTTGATTTCAAAGTATTTGATTTTCATCACTGATTATTTCTTTCGGTATGCTGATGTGTACGGTGTGACAATTTGAAGAGACACACGCATAGTCTTCGTACCACTTCATTTTCAATTTGCTGAATGAATAGTTTAATTTACGAACGTATCATAAAAAATTGTTTATGAATAGTGAGTCGGTTTTGATTTTGATTTCGTTTAGGGATTGTGTGAGTATTTTGACTGAGATATTTCTTCGATGATAAAATTCGTAAGTTTGAAGGTATAATACTACGTCAGCATATATATGAGAATTAAAACAACCATCATTAAAAATGTACAGGTTTTATAAAAAATTGTCTACACAAGATACTTCAAAACCGGCTGATGGAAACCACCAGAAACCGTATACTTTGACAGAGAACAAACCAATTTTCAGCTGAAGATAAAATTAGAAAAAGATGCTGGAGATGAATAGGACACATATAGCAGAAATCGTCAAATTGCACCACAAAGTAAGCCCTAACCTGAAATCCTCAAGGCATAAGGAAAAGAGACAGACTAAAGAACATATTCCTCCAGGAACTAGAGCCATACATCAAAAGAATGAATAGTATTTGGCAACAATTGGAAAGAAGAGCCCACAAAAATAAAGTCCTTTTTAATTGTACTATTGGTAAGATAATTAAAACAATCTATTTACTGGTTAACATATATTTACCAGTTTATAAATAGATTTGGAGAATGTAACCGGTTAAAGTGCAGCTTAACTGTTAAGTGATGTTGTAGTTACTATGAAACCTAAAGGACTTAAAATCCATTGTATTTAGTATTTTAATTGTGGACCCAATAAACTCTGATCCTTACAATTCTTCGACTTATATCAGTTACCTATAAAAACAATGTTCGAATTAATTAAATGTTCAAATATATTTCTGTTTGAATTTCGACTTAATTTTATCTAGTCGAACTATGCAGATTATCTTTCAATATCAATTTTATTAATTTCTTGATCAAAATACAAATCAATAAATAGATCTTTCAGGAAACAATATTTTCAAGTCAAAGAAATAAAAGAGATTATGTACTTGTATCGATTAGTATACTATTTTAGAATGAAAATATATTTGAATAGGAATAGATCAATTATATTTCCATAAAATTCATATTTAGCTAAAGAATTAAAAGAAAATGAGATTGATTACTGATCGATATAATGAAAGAATTAATGTTAGACCACCATTGAAAACCTGGAAGCTATTTCGTCCTATTGTGGGACTCCTCAGTAGTGCTTCCAAGTTTTCAATAGTGGTCTGAGATTGATCCATTCATGATATTATTCTAAACTCAACAATCTCAACAACCCTATACTGATAATTACTAATCAAAAACAGATCAATATATTTATTATTTTTGAGAAAGAAAGGTATGAGATTTCAACGGTCTTTTTATCAGAAAGGGGTTAAGTGTAGATTGTAGTAATCTAATAGTTGAGTTCATGGGTTAATTAAAGCTAGACCACCATACACAACTTGGAAGCACTGGATGACCGTTTCATCCTAGTATGCATCTCCTACTAGGACGGAACTGCTGTCCAGTGCTTCCAGGTTTTCCATGGTGGTCTAGCTTTAACTAACTCATGAATCTAACTATTAGAATTTTTAAAGAATAAACTGTATATTAAGTATTTTATCAATAACTTTATAATTTTAGTGTATTTTCTAGAATATTTGTGTCCATGATTAACACTTGACGTTAGCGTACTTGATTTTTTCGACTTGTTCAAAACTATTAACCTTAATTATGTATCTTTTAAGTGTCATCCTTGTGTTTCGCACAAATAATTATGATGAAAAGATTTTAAAAAACTTGACTGAACTTTTTCCAACAAAATAACGATCTGAAATGATTCATTCTATGGTTATTTTCTTGTATAATACATTTACCTATGTACACATAAGTGTATTGTGATACTTAAATAGGATGATAGTTCATGATTCAGCTCTTCTAATTAAAACATAAATACATACAAATCAATAATATTTGTAATTAATGTAATCTATAAAAATGATTGTAATCATTAATTAAATTACAGTATGAGGATTTTTGGAGACTGTATCAATTTAACAGATGAATTAACGAGTCAATTTAAGCTAAACCACCATTCAAAAACTGGAAGTACTGAAAAGCCGTTTCGTTCTAGGATGAGACCTCTCAAAAATGTAAATCCACCACCCCGCACGTAGGACTTGAACCAAGATCACTAAATCTCACTCGTGGACGCTTAAAATCCAAATTACTGAGTCGGTATCTAATGGCATTTATGTCTAACTTTAACCAACCCACGATATGATATTATCATATACTTACTAACGACTAGCTTCGAGAAGTAGTTCTCTAAGTTTTAACTATTATTTATTAGAAAGGGTTTTGTGGATATTCTAGTAATTTCAATAGTTGAGATCATGAGTCAATTGAAGCTAGACAACCATGGAAAACTTTGAAACGTTCATCCAGTGCTTTCAAGTTTTCCATGGTAGTCTACTTTCAATTGACTCATGATCTTAACTATTGAAATTATTATTTATTAATCAATATAATTCTAAAAACTTTTAATACAATCCAACAATAATACAAATCAGTTTAGGGGTTGTGGAGATTATTAGGTTTATGATTGAGATCATGAACCGGTTGACGTTAGACCATCATTGAAAACCTGAAAGCACTGGACAGCCATTTCTTCCTATTGTGGGACTCCTCGGCAGTGCGCATCCACGAACCCGCTCGCGGGATTCGAACCCAGATCTCTCAGTCTCGCGCGCGAACGCTTAACCTACTGGACCACTGAGCTGGCATCCAATGATTATAAACTAATTACATAATTTATATTGTTATTCATATTCACAATTTTCTTTCTTAGTTTTGTTTCTTTATGAAAATATCAGATCAGAAATAGAGAAAAAATTTATTTAGAACAACATATATAAGTGAACAATATTGTTTTCGATTAGATCCTCATCAGGCTTTACTCTAATATACAGTAATATTTATATGCATATACGAAATTATTAAACCAATCAAGGTAGTTTATAAGTCAAAAAATTTATTATCGAAAAAAAATTTAATTCAGATATAAAATGAAAAAATTTATTTATCAAATATGAATAACATACTTTGTGTTGTTAATTCTTCAACTGAACGATTTTTTGTTGTCCAAGATAATAAACGTTCTTTTTCATAATGTATTCTTTCTACTTGAGGTTTACGTGCTTCAAATTCTGTGAGAAATTGCTATGAAACAAAGAGAAAAAATTTTTTTTCTTATTTCTACATCCACGAAAAAGGAATAATTCAATTGGCTTTGATGTTGATAATATAAAATTATAAATAAAAATTTATCAGTATAGGGGTTGTGGAGATTGTTAAGTTTTTGATTGAGATCATGAATCAATTGATGTTAGACGACCGTTGGAAACCTGGAAGCACTGGACGGCCGTTTCGTCCTAGTATAGGACTCTTCAGCAGTGCGCATCCACGATCCCGCTCCCTGCGAGCTTCGAACCCAGGACCTGTCGGTCTCGCGCCAGGCGCTTAACCAACTAGACCACTGAGCCGGCATCCAATGGTGTTAGTGTCTAACATCAACCAATCCACGAAATTGCGCGACCATCTTTCATTGTACTGAGGTAGATACCTGTCTCTACCCGACACGGATTAGCTCCACTGGTCACAGCTTCTCACTAGAACTCCGAGAATTCCCTCACGGAGCTAGTCACTAATGAGCACATTTTAATTATCAGTATAGGGGTTGTGGAAATTGTTAAGTTTTTGATTGAGATCATGAATCAATTGATGATATATTAAACTAATTGAATAATTCAGTTTTGTAGTTAGATCATTATTTCAAGTATGTTCAGTTTGAAAATTACTTCCATCATTCTTTTAAACAAATTGATTTAAAGGCTTGACCTCCAAGTGTACACTGATAATTACTCTTAAATAGTTAGATTAAAGAGCTGTCAAGTTAAACAAACATCTACAACCGTGTAACTGTGAAGAAACTAAGTGTTTGTTAGTAATTATCTTTTAATTGTTTTATTTTTTGAATTTTTGATGAAATACCGTAACCTGTGAAGTTAATTATCATGACACTGATGCAGATAAATGATTACAGTGTACTGTAATAAAATTGTAAATATGGAAATCGTTGAGTTTTGTGTTAGATCATTTCATAAACTGGTTACTTGAACCAGTTTATCAGTTATTCCCTTATACTTGGTTGATACCCGTAAAAATTAGTTATGAACCAATAAATTTGTCACTGTGAATATGAGTAAACAGTGTTACATTTAAGCGAACGAATAGACAGAAGTATTCCATTTTTTGACTTATTAATGTTTGTCCAGTAAAAAATGTAAGGTAATAAGTTAGTACGATACCGTGAATTTTTATGCGCGACAATTACAGATGGACTGAAAATCAATTTTATGCTTAGTAGTGCACTATGTCAATTGTCTTTAGTCCGAACCACTTAACGTGAGTTCTGTAAAGCTGCCAATAGGTAATGAAAATATACATGAAAGTCATATATTATGACTGTGTATCTAATATATATCCTTTTGAAATATTTCCCTTATGCAGTTGAAAATATTCAATGGAGCCTTTTACATCCGTAAATCATTGAGTAACTACCAACATCACGTTTCATATTCCTCAGTACTGATTGAATTCTACAGATTGAATTATAATCATTAATCAAGGTGACTTGATGCAGTTTTGACTTACATTAGACGTTGGGTGGTTAGAAGTAACAGGCAAAAAAATGTATGAACCAAGATTACATTCTCGTTGACACTCATCATCAACATACTTATACATGTATGTACGTTGACTGATATATACAGTCATGCACAAAGCATAGTTTATCATTTTGATAACCACTTTAGAAATTTAACGAATGAAGTTTATAGCATATACGATCATATGATGAGTCAAACCGCAAAGTTTCGTACTAGGTATAAGTAAATAATTTATACGGACTGAAAATTTTCAGAAATAGATCAGTATGATAACCATCTCTACTAGGAAACTATATGCAAAACAACATTACATTTTTTTCTTAATTAGGTTAGAAAAGTTAAATATTCTCATCTTCTAACAGGGGATTATGGTATAAGAAAATAATAAAACAATGCTTGAGGACAATCACACATTGTCCTATATTTTATTTATTGAAACAATGACCAATAACATATTTTTATCCTGATTATTTGATAAATATACCGTGGCTACAAAAATTCACTTTTTTTTCAAGATGATAGAATATATTTACGAAGTTTATCATAAAACACTGGAAAATGAGTCTATTACTTTCCAAACTGATTGAAATGTAAATCAGATATGTGACCAAACATTCATATAAGTGACTTTAACTAATTAAAATAAATGCGATAGAATAGTATCATTTTATTAGTCTATCTAAATAGATAAACTATTTTTAACTATTTTAAGGGTAGATCTTAATGGACAATGATGTTGTACAATATTTGTAGAACTAAAGAAATTTGATGAATTTAATGACTTTTAGTTACCGTTCTTGATGTCATTTGATTGTCTGTTATAGAAATTTTATTCTATACTATACTTTGTACTACAATATATGTTTTCTTTCCCTAAATACAGTATGAGCAATACGTCAATGAACAGATATGATGCCTTGGTAAATGCTATTCTTATAAACAATTTTACCTACATTAATTCAACATACATTTATAAAAAAACAATCAATTTTAAATTCCTTTATTTCAAATTTCCCACATTTTAAATAACCAACTTGAAGGAATACTTTCTGAACACGTAGTATAATTTGTGTTATATCTTAGTGAAGAATGAATTCCGAGTAACGTCTGAGACCTATTAATGGACTAATATTATCTATATACTCTTATGTTATAACTATTCAGTAACTAGATTGTATATATCTATATTTACCTTATTATAATCTTTATTTTGAATTATAGTTTATTATTGTACGATTTACTGTTCTTAAGCTATGCTCAATTTATTGACTACTTCCTCCCACATTCACAGCCACATTTTGGCTTTATTGTGTATGAATGTTATTTCCTATTTTATGGTGCGTTGTGGTCTGTTTGGTTGATATATAAACCCAGTATGTCTGAAATAAATGGTTTGATTCGCATAGTGGAAGCTGGAATTGGTGTTTTGGACTCAGCTGAACGGGCTAGGCGAACATAGTACCAATAAGGACGCTAGGCTGCTCATACCGGTCAAACGTCATTGGTTTGGCACAGTGCTAGGATTGTATAAGTCGTATTTTGATTAGTGGATAAATCATGTGATAAAAAGCCGGACATAAAGTCACAAGATTTTATATGTTTGATTTAGATTCGGTCTACCGCATACGTTTTTAGTAAATCATTAAATAAATAATTCAGTATTCATGTATTAAACTAAATTTGAGAATTTAGGGAAAAAAGAAATGACAAAAGAGGAATGCCACTATCTATCTTTGCTTAAAATGCTTGTGACTTAAGGCTATATCAAGGCAGTCCGCACAGGATGCACATATATCAACATTAGACTGATCAACTGAAGTCCTAAATGATAATGGGAAGATAAAAGTAAAACAACACCAAGTGAATTAAAGAAAAGCCCTGTTAATTTATTTTAACGTTTTTCTACTAATGGAAATGTATAATGCACACAATTTTTTCATCAACATTGAATGATTTCTCATGGTTTTTTTTATCTTGTTTTTAAGACCTATAACCATTAGGCAAAAACTTGAAGTACATACTATAAAGTACTGTCGGTGCAGATCATGGATTGCTAACGATAATTTCTTTTAAATTAGTTTAAGGTATGCATTATGTATATTTATAGACAGGTAGGAAATTATGCAGAATTTATTCAATCTCAGGATTATTTTAACATAAAATTAAGATATATTTCGATAAAAAAAATGACAGTGAAAGACATGGAGGGAAAGATAGAAGAGAAAGAAAACAGAAAAATGGTTAATTTAAATATATTTTTAAGATCAAACATAAGCAGTTATTGATTGTCTGTTTGCTAGTTATGTTTTCTTTGTTTTTTTTATTTCGAGATGAAAAACCCAGTTAAATTATCTTGACTGTTCTTCAAATCAATGAATTCACTTGCGTTTTTGACATAGTACTCGCTATAAACAAAGCTATGAGTTATATAGAAGTAATCAAATATAGTCATAATCAACCAGTTATAAAAATCGATTCGTCTATTGTAACTAGACATCATGTTTGTTTTAATAAGTTACCCTAATTTGCACAGTAAGAAATTTCGACTAGTTCTTGGGTTTACTTCTTAATTACTGTATGTTAAGAAAGATAACTCCAACATGAGCTAAAACATGAAATCCTATCTAGTTGAGTGAGTTTAAATTTCAAAACAAATACTGATACTTAGGTTTCAGATGTTATTACCAACCGACCAAAAAAGAACTTATAATTGTTCGAACATTGAGAACGTTGTTTGGCCACTTAATAATAACCAGTGTTCAATTATCTAGTCCCTAGTATTAATTACGTAACATATGTAGTCTCAGTATAGTCACTAACTGGATAACGTAACATCTTGGCGGGCACAGTTTGACGTTCATTAGTTAGATCGGATAAGCTTACAACTGTAGATCTAGGATTTATAGCACTTGACCGTCATCAGCAAAAGATTTGTTCAATCACTGGTTGGGACCCGTGCCTCCCAATATTACTGTCGGAAACTTTACTACTGAGCTTTTGTTTCCTTCACCACTCTCCTACAGAACCGAGATATATATAGCTACTGGCAACTCAATGGTGATCAGTGTTATATTGTCTAATCATTAGTGGTACATGACTTCAGTTGTAGCCAAAAGAACTGAGTGAAAATGTCTTTCATTACGACACAGAGTGATGCTTGTTCTAATTTTTTACGAATACACTGTTCCCCATGGGTTGTGGTCATACTTTGCTAAAGTACACTAACTAGTACGAAGCCTGAGAAGAGCGCTTTCTGTTGACTGTCTCTAAACATTTAGTATCAGTATAAAATCATCAATTTTACAACATTTGTATTGTAACTAGCTGTAGAATCCAGGAATCCCGTTTATTCTTAGTTGAGTGTAGATGGTAGACAGAAAACTGATCAATTCCAACCTCTGTAAATAAATTGCATATTTATAATATTATGTGTTCCTAAACACTGAACACTTTTGTGAATTCTAATTTTATTTGACTGTATTTATATTTATGTTAGCAGTTTTTTAAGTGCTTCATCACTAACACTGACTAAACAATATTAAGAACTATTGTATTGTTTGATTTTTAGAATCCATCTTCAATATGCACATAGACAATCCTATTTTGTATTGCATCCAAGATCTTCCTCACCTAAAATTAGTATTAAATTATTTGTTCCTTAATTGCAAATCGATTAATTCACGCTTTTCCAACTTCTACTCCTTCGAGATAAAACATTACTTCAGGCTATTGTCATTGACGAGTATTCCTCTCTTTTTCAATTTAGTTGACTTAAATTTTTCCACTTACAAGCTTATATATGCACTTATAAGTAAAAACATAGTAGAGTCTTCAAATGCAATAAACAACAGCTAGAAAAAATACTGTTCCATTCACTTGTTTTCCTTTATTTCATCAAATCATTTCTTATAAAAGTGATCATTATGAAAGATCAATAGTGTTATATTTTGATATAGAACTGAAAATTGAATGCAAATGAACGTATGATTTTTTCTGGTAGAATTAAAACATCTGACCTGTAGATTACTATTGTGAAACTATACTGACTTAAATAACAGAATAAGTGATATTTACACTTCAGTTATATTTAAAACATCATCTTATTTGATGGTATTCAAGATATTGAGATTATATTTTGACTGAACTAGAAACAGATAACCTAAGCAATTTCTTTTAGAAACGTAACGTTAAACAGAATCTAATGTATAAAAACACCATTCATCATACTACAACAAAAATGATTTATTCAATATTTAATCATCGTGACCAATCTGTTCTGATCTAATGTAACTGAATTTCTATAGATACGGCTTTCAACCATAAGTAGAAGGTGAGGATTTTGATAACATAGATAAATGTAGGGGTTTGATGGAGATTGTTAGGTTTTATGGCTTACATTACGGAATGATGTTAATTAGGCAATCAATGAGAAACTGGAGACAGTGGATAGCTGTCTTGTTCTATTACACGACTTCATAGTAGTACGCATTGATGACACCACAGAGGATCGAACTTAGGATCTTCAGGTCTCACAAGAATGTATTAGCGTTTAAACCATCAGCGGGTATCTAATGATTTAAATTCCACGGAATCACACTTCACCAATTTTCACAAACCTTCTACATCAATGATAATCATGTGCTCACTGATGATTTATTTAAAGAATCACTTCACCCAGTTCCCATTATAAGTCATGTCTAGGGAATTCCAACCATTTCGAGGTTGATTCAATTACTCACCGATGATATTGGAATATGGCTACACAATGTCACAGATTGATTGAAGTAAAACATGTAAACAGGTGGATACTGGCTTATTGATCTGAAGACTAAAGGATTTCTGTGAGAAATAAACATCTCAAGTTGGATCCTCTGTTGTGTCATTAATGCGTGTTACTATAATATCAAACACTAAGATGAAAGAACTATTCAATGTTTCCAGTTTCTCAGTAGTTTACTAACTTAGAACATTTCGTATTGCTAACAACAGAATAAAACAGAGTCAAAGATTTTACTCTATTTTATCTCCACTTATATGAAATGAAGAAAATAAATAAGAAACAGACCATTCTATTCTAAAAAATTACAGAAGAAAATAGTTTCTCTTAAACTCAGGAAATCAGAAAACTAGAAATTTTTATATTTTTTATACCACATCATATTTCTTTTTGCTTTTAAGTAGTCAAAATTTTAATACCAATCAGGTTGTTTATCTCATCTACGTAATAGTTTTCATTTGAAATAAAGTCAATATTCTATGATACTAAAAAGAACAGTTTGCGAACTGCTATAGTTTTAGTAAAAATAAAGAATTCATTGACAAAGAGTTAATGGAATTGGTTGTTTTTATAAAAAAAAAGAAAATTGTCAGTTTAATCGATAAGCCGGAAACACAATAAGAATGAAAAAAGAAACAATCATACTTTTATGATGATGAACTTTATAAAAGGTATAAAAAATTTAGATTTTCAATGAAGGTCCCTCAGTCTTGTGCGCGGACGTTTAACCTCTAGATTACTGAGCCGATGTCTAATGGTATTATTGCTTAACTTCAACCAATGCATAAGATAATATCATTATCAACTTACTAATGACTAGTTTCCAGAGGTAATTCTCTGAGTTTTAGTGAGAAACCTAGACCAGTGTGGTTCAACCGTATCAGGTGTGAGGAAGTTACCCAATAAAGATAGTGAAAAACTATCGCTCAGTATTGTGGATTGATTAAAGTAACACATTAACACCATTATATCCCTGCTCAGTTTGGTATACGATTTCAATAAAGTCTAATTATTATTATGTTTGCTCAGTAAATTTTTTTGCTTAAATAGAAAAATACTGTAAATTTATTTGTAGTCCTGACAATTATTATGTAACTCAAATCCATCACAAATCACCTAGAAATTTCAAAATATGCAATGCTATGCTCTTTCATAGTAGTAATATTGCAGCGAACGAAATACCAGTGGGGACAATCCGATATATTTGATGCGAAATTACAAGACTTGTTAATAAAATCTAACAATCATAATGTAAATACTTAATTTGCAAAATGTCCACCAAATGTCTCAAAATGACTCGGACTTCATTGTTCTTGCGTTTTCATACAAATTGCATTTTTTCCATTCTTTACTGTTTGATCATCTTGTCTCTCTGCTGCCAGACATTCTGTTCCTGACTAACGTCATATACTACTTATGTCAATATAAGTAGCACACACCACAGTATAATTAATAATACAAATAAAAGAGGAAAGAGAAAAAATCATTTATCTAACTTACTTTTATCTTAAGCTGTATAGTAGCTGGATGATAGACCACCAGTTTTTCAGACAAAATCCCATCAGTTATAGCTTGTTTAATTTGCTATAAAGTATGACAATTAAATATGTAGAAAAATAGATCTTAATAGTAAATCTTAACAGTAAATTTAATAGAAAATTTTTCATGTACATCATTTCATTTTGTTTAAATTGAAGTTGAACAAAGATAATCATCTGGTTTATATTGCATAAATTTGTTAGTTATTATCAGTTATGTATGGTGTAGTAAAGACTAAGTTGAACAATTATGTAATTAAATGAAAATAATGAGTAATAGTTAAATGATAAAGTATTTAAATAAACAAATTCGATGGACAAATATTATTTAAAGATTTACATAAAGTTGAGAAACACAATGTAATCATATGTGAGAAAAAGCATACCTTTCCGATACATAAACAAAAAAAGATTGATCATTGTTACCAACTAAATGAAAAGTTAAAGTTTAGACATTTATTAGGTAGGTTCGAGTCAATTCTGGGGTAAAAGTACATCCAGTCGATGAGTCTTAAATAGGATGAAACATCTGTCCTGGATTCCACTGCTAGCCATCATCCTTCTTTATTTATTAAAAAGATGAGAGTTTGACTGTTCACACTATCATCCAACTAGCTTTATTTTCCTGTAAACTTTATTCTTTAAAAAGTTGGTGAGAATTTAATAGAGTAAAATAACTTAATAATATTCTACTGCAACATTTTTTCGTGTTGCTATTTTGCAAATTGAAATTTTCTCCCTCTTACATATGAAACAGTTATTCATACATAGTTCTGTCACAAAACCAGTCGACAGAGAATACTATTGATCGATACTGTCTGTTTCTTTATCAATGTAAGATGAATGAAACTGTAGCACGAAAATATGATGAATTATGGTATTTATTTACCTAAATTATTGCTTAAACTTCAGATCGGTATATTATTTAGCAATAAAAATACTTGATTTAATTAATACAAAATATCAGTGTGAGGTTGTGGAGATTAGTAAGTTTTTAATTGAGATCATGAACCGATTGATGTTGGACTACCGTTGGAAATCTCGAAACATTGGACGGCCGCTTCGTCCTATTGTGGGACTCCTCAGCAGTGGGTATCCACGATGCGGCCCCCTCGAGATTCCAACACAGGACCTTCAGTCTCGCATGCGAACGCTTAACCCGTAGACCACTGAGCCGGCATCCAACGGTGTTGATGTCTAACTTCAACTAATGCACGGAATTGAGTGACCATCTATTGTATTGAGGTAGATACCTGTCTCTACCCAATACGGATTAGCTCCACTGGTCACGGACTCTCACTAGAACTCCGATAATTCCCTCACGAATCTAGTCACTGATGAGTACATATTAGTTTCTGAATGAACACACTTGTTTGAAATAGTACCTACATTGTCACGATTTACAGCATATAATATTCATTAATATGAATAAATTGAGACTACTTATGATAACAAATCAGTAGTTTAAATTCTAGCATAATTTTAACATTTAATGGTTCAGTAGGAAGTTGATTATCATTCATACATACAGAGTGAATTGTTCATTTATCCTAGGCTATTTGAACTATACTGTTGATGGCAAATTATACGAAGGATGTACAAAATCTATTGAATTTAATTATTTTTATCTACAAAATAAAGAATTGTAGTTTACTAAACATCAGTATTTATATAATATGCAGTAATGTTTTAAAATATGAAAGTAATTTTCATCACAAATTAACATCATTTGAAGAACTACGAATAATTAGCTAACAGTGTAACATTATTTTTTATTTCAATTCTTAACAGCATATACTATACAGAATCAAAACTGAAACTTTAAAATTTCATCAAGAGTACAATATCATTAAAATTAATATTAGATTCAAATATAATTTACCACATTTTATATCCGTATTTTTATTTATGACTTAATGAGAAATATATTTATTATTGATATCAGGTTCTACATTAGAGTAAACAAAAGTTACATGATATTTACATTGACATAAAGTTGTTCACTAAAGGCTTTTAACGATTAATTCCCATAGTAACAATAAAAATAATGATAAACATTAAATAATATTATAATAGACTGATAACTATTTCCTTTCAACATATAATAATGATTTATTTTTTAAACATTCACTCCTTTTAATAAATTGTCAAACAGAATGTATTTGATATTTCTATATTGTTTAATTTATATATACTCTATGAGCAATCTATATAAATATATAGCGGCAAAAGAATAACAAACGATATATTCAAAAATGTTTAAATATTTATATTATTTATTACTGATATACTTTTACATATTTAATATGCAAATAATTAATTATATAATGAAAAATGATGAAAATAAACTTCTATATATTCGGTTAGATAACAATATACTACTGAATATCAATAATGTTGAAAAGAGCAAGAACAAAGATTCTAGCAGAATAGCATGAATTCATTTTATTTCGTAGGTTTTCGTCAGCTGCTTACAACCTGTGATATTTAAAAATCATAATTGCATAATGGATTTAAATTGCTTACAGAATATTGTAAATATATACCTAATGTGAAACAATATTCTACAACATTAATTGTGACAACAGTTCAAAAATGGGTTAGAAACAATTGATTACATATAGAATAAACATTGATAGGAATATAGTCATTAGAGTTCAATTGAAAGATTATTAATTTGAAAGATAGTTGAAAAAATAAAATAACATCAATGATGTAATAAATGCAACAGAAAAAAGAGGAAAAAAAAGAAAAAAACATTTTTAAGGTTCAGTGAAGGAATATTTGTCACCAGGGTAAGGAAAGATTAACCACCGTCTCCTTTTGAATACATAGGTCAGGTTTTTGTCGCCTGATGGCAATAGCTTCAGCAAACTTCAGAAGACTGGAGTTTGGCGGCTTACTAATCACCCTAAAGGATTGTAAGGTATCTACCTGATGTCCTGTATCAAGGAGATGTTTGGTGATCTCACTGTTCAGAGTCTTTCTTTCCCTTGTTCTAAGACTTTTTGGAACATGTTCAAAGAATCCAAGATATGCTCTCCTTTCAGTTCGGCCGATGTAGCTGCTTTGGCAGGTACACGTAAATTTATAAATACAGTTGGCGGTAACATGAAAGGGTTGCTTGTCGATCTTTGATTGGGTTATTGAACATGTTGTTTTATAGAGAATTAAAAGTTTAGCAGCCGGATAAGTTCTGGCTAGCGCTGTATTCAGTCTCTTGTTGATAATTTGTGCGACGTCATCACCTTTAAAGTTAAGATTTATATATACTGGTTTTTTATTGACCATACTTATTTCCGTCTTCTTTTCCTTGGGCCTTTTATATTTGTTAATAAACCTTTGTGGATAAAAGTTGTCTTTTAGACACTTTTCTACGTTCACTAATTCTTCTTCCAGTTTGTCGTCGGAACATATCTTTTCAACCCTGTAAAATAGTGTTCTAACCAATGCCTTCTTGTAACTAATTGGACAAAAACTATTGAAATTCAGGTAGAGGCCATTCCAACTACTTTTTCTATAAATTGAACGTTGAACTGTCCCGTCTCCCCTGCGTTTTATGGCAACATCAAGAAAGTGGAACATATCGTTCTGTTCGTGCTCCATAGTAAAATGTATGTTATTATGAGCGTTATTGAAGAGTTTGAGCAGGCGGATTGCATGTTATTTATTATTACAGATAATAAATGTGTCGTCCACATATCTTGAGTATTCCGTTGTTTCACTAATTGCCTGTTTAAGTATCGTGTTCTCAAGATACCCCATAAAAATATCTGCCATAATTGGACCTAGTGGACTACCCATTGCTACGCCATCGACTTGGCGATATATGGTGTTGTTAAATTGGAATTGAACATCTGTTGCACATATTAGTAGTAGTTTTTTGAATTCTGGGGCTGGTAAAGGTAGGAGATCTTCATTCTGACAAATTATATCAATAGTTTCAAAAAGTGGTATATTGGTGAACAAGGATGTTACATCAAAAGAGACCATGAACTTGTCGTTAACATTCGTATGATTTAGTCTTTCAGCAAACTGGAATGAATCTCTTAACGTATATGTTGCTAGCATTTCAATACAGCACATACGGCGTCAAGTCAATAACACTAGTGATCATGTTACATTATGATCTACAGAATTCAATCAGCACTAATGGACCAGGCAAACATAACATTAGTCACTAATAAATGACTGGCCAATAGCACAAAATAAAAATCTCATAGGTTGGATTCGGTAAGACGTTTCGATCGCTAATAGCTAATAAATTACTAATTAAACTAAAAATTTTATCCGGTGCTCCTTGGCCTTTGGTACCTTTTCAATAGACGTCATGTCATGATGAAAATCACTTTTTTACTAGATTGATTTGTTAGTTTATGTCATGAATGTGACCTAATTTATAAACATTCTAATCTCGCTTCTAAAACCAATTACATTCAGTGCTATGTAAACGATGTCGAGAAATTGTTACAAACTGAATTTCGATTAAACTATTATGTACTGAATTATCAGTCAGATAAATAAAACTTCAAGTAAAAACTAATATTGTATTTTTATTTACTTGTAATTGTTGACTTTCAGTATCTTGATCAAATCGATCACCAAGTTTTGCTTGACTAGTTTCAAGTATATTTCTGATTGTAGTTAACCAACGAGTTAATTGTTGTATTTCATTACGCATACGGTTCAATATAGGTGATATAGATTTATGACATACTACAGTTGATACTGTAGATGTGGTTTCAGATGGATTAGAAATAACTGCAGTTATTGGTGGTGATTCCAAGGTATCTATTGTTTTTGTAGCATTAGTCGCGTAACATTCATTCATTCGACTTGTTAATAATGCTGAGGAAGAAACAGATTCATTTATAGTTTTCATTGTTTGACTTCCAACTGTATTCTCTAATATTGGTTTATGATTCAGAAAACTTTTCTGGTAGTAATTATTGGTTTGTTTTGTAAACGTATCCAGTGAATAAATGAAATGATTAAGTCATGCAAAAGAAAAGGAAATCAAGAAATTCGTTAGATGTGTGAAATAATCAGCATAAAAACATTAACAATTTATTTAGAAAAAGAAATGTGGATTTTGATGGAGTTTCGTCCTCTGAGCTAGATGGTTTGATCGTGGAGCTTCCATTTTTCTTCCGAGCAACATCATCAGCATAGTACTTGAAGTTTGAGGTGATGTCGCTCAGAAGAACGATGAAAGCTCCACGACAAAACTCAATCAAAATCATCCACCTACAAAACTTCTCCATCATTTCGAAATATGAACTGTATAAATAAATTCATAATACCAATTCAAACAAAAAAGATTTTAATCTATCTTAGGAACTTTTACTCATGAATGATAATATAAGAATAGTTTTATTCAAGAGTAGATTAACCAGTGAATGCATGGAATAAGATCTTTAAAACATTATTTGATAAAAACATTTAGTTACATCAATCTTATCATATTCAAAATATTGATTCTATTTAGTAGTGTAGTTGTCACATTTTTACAACTCATAGAATCTCGCGGGGGGCGGGATCGTGGATGCGCACTGCTGAGGAGTCCCATGCTAGGATGAAACGGCTGTCCAGTGCTTACTGGCTTTCCATGGTAGTCTAGCTTCAATTGACTCATGATTTCAACTATTAAAATTTCTAAAATCTCCACAAAACCCCTTCTGATAAAAATTAATTGTCTTATCGTTTAATAAAATAGCATTGAGTAATTGAAAAAAGATGATTATAATAATCAAAGTAATTGCTTAAAAAAATCGGAAAGTTGCTACACTGTATAATATATTTAGAAAAAAACATAGAAATACAAAAACGGAAGAAATTAGAAAACTGAATATTTTTGCAGAAAGGGATTTAATCAAATTTCAGCTGAAAACTCACTCATACCGATGGTCAAGGTAGTGATTAGTTGCACAAACTTCTTTTGGAAAACTTAAGGCCTTCTGATAACGCATCTAACTCAGTATGTACATGATTTTTCTAGTGATAATCTCATTACAACAGTCAGTTCTTAGATGTACGATGAATGTTCACTCCCGATTCAACAATAGATAGTTTGGTCATGGGGTGACCATTGAACCATCTCCTGGTTAACTTTTTACTTGTAAAACTGGAAAATGGACCACCTAGATACACAATCAGCCATCTAACATTTTGCTGTCGCTGCATAAATGATACTTTTATAGTATTGGAAAAAGAAACATGAAAAGATTAATTTACTTCATACATTTAATAACATTCATCCATCCATTACTTCTACACTTTAGGAAGAACAGCGTAGTAGAAGTCCGACAAACAAGAAAATTGGATGGAATATAAAAAGAAAGGATGGATAGAAAGTCTGCAGTTGAACAGTATGCTCATTTCTATAGTGCTGTACCAATCAGATGCAAAAGAAACTTAGTAAACAACCTGAAACATCGTGCTAGGATGATTTGCCCTGTGACACTATTGTAAATGAAGTGAGTAATATTTGCAACCTGCTTAGTAGGAATGGACACCCAACGAAATTCATCAACCAACACATTGTCTTGAGAAGAGTAAATGTAAATCCGAAGAAAGTACTATTCTTAAAATCACAATCATAAAATGATGCTATCGAGGAAATTGTAAGTCAAGAGTTGGAAAATGTGATGCTGAAAACATTTACTGCAGCCAAAATGAATACAGTTTTCTACATCCTCCCGATAATAAAGACCTTCAATAAAGATAGAATCTCTAAATTCGCCACATTCATATGTATTTATCAATTCACCTGCTCATGTGGAGCCAGTTATATAGGGCGTGAAACTCAGCAAGTCCATCATCACATAGCAGAACACTGTTTGTCTTGATTGAGCAAAGGACTAATAAGAGTGATTAAGAGTTCTGTTCCCGCTCACTTGGTGAACACAAGATATAAAGTTGACCTGAGTAAAGCTTTCAAAGTTATTCACAATATTCCATTAAATTCACCACATAGTTTACGAGTTCGTCTGTTGCTAAAGCTATCGGTATCCCTATTAACAAATCAAACTTTTGCATTCAAAAGACGTTTATGCAACCACTCATTACCTTGGTCATAGGTATAGGAGTGAGTTTACAGATGAACTTTGATTAAGTCCCTTTCTGCAAAAATATCCAAGTAATTTTCTAATTTTTTTTAAAATATACTGAGCAGTGTAGCAAATGTTTGATTATTTTAATCCTCTTTCTTTCAATCACTCATTTTTATTTTGTAATCAATGTGACATAATATGATTATTACGCAACGCAACTACTCGATGAGTATAATTTCATTGTTATAAATGATATAAGTATTAATGTGAAGACATGATGAGAAAACTTTTTACTAAACTCCAAAATGGGAATATTCACTGTCATTCAGTTATCCAAATTTTGCTTATCTATTGTAAAATCAATGTATATTACATACGCGAACGAAGTAAATGATAAGTTTTTAGTTCGGGGTTGTGAAGATTGTTGACTTTCATTAAAAACGTGAAACGATTATTGTTAGATCACCATCGAAAACCTGGAAGCACTGAACGAGCATGGATTAGTTGAAAATGTGTAATCAAATATATTTTGCTAGAATACTTCAGGATTTCTTCTAAAGTATTTTAAACATGATACTTTAGTTAATAAATCAACTTAGAATATACTACTTCATGTTTCACACTGTTACATTCCCTTATTCTTCAAATTACCTGTAACAAAGTTTTCCTTTCAGAGACTGAAGTTTCAAGAATCATGTTGTCTGAACAATACTGATAGTCTTCGTTACATGAATCAGTTTGTGATAAAGACAATGGTCCACTGGTTCCCAAACAATAACAATTAAAATTTATAATTCCATTGAAATGTATCCGGATTTCTCGAGCTAAATTGTATAATGTTGGTGAAATTTGTGCATCAGATTTTAAAAGATTATCAATTAAACGATTAATTGATAATAAGTAATCACCGGATGATTTCTTGATTGTTGGATTTGAATAGACATCGGCCTGGAATTTTGAGAGAAAAAAAAAGTGTTAACTAAAAACGTATACGACCTAGTTTATAGGTATCAGTACCGAGGTTCAATTTGATAAAATAAACTGAGAATTTTGTAAATTGTTAATGATAAAACTAATGGTATTTTGTATTGTCTCCATGATTAGAAAATTAAATGTGTAACGTTTAACAACATAGTGTAAGTTGCATCTTCAGAGAACTTGTTGAACAGGAGTAGGCTACTGTGACCAAACAACCTAGTGGATAACGATGTGTTGTTTAAAGTAAGAAGTGTTATCTTAGAGTTTCAATGAAAACCTCAACACGAATGCAATTATATGTAAACGAAAACCTGGGGATGAGACGAAAAATGTGAAGTAGATTCTATAATTACCCGATGTCATATTTTATGAAGATATATATATATTGATTGATAAAATTTTACTGATTCTAAAATAATCACACGCGGCGGTAATCTAACCGTGTGTAATGTAAGTGAATCGAAAGTGGGAGAATTTCTAAAAATAAACTGACTGTAATGCTTTTATACTGCAAATCAGCAGAATCTGAGTAGTAACTAATGTCAGTTCCTTATGATGAAAAGTTAGACTTCTTAATTCTGTAGGCTGATACGTTTCGTTTCCACATTTCTCTGATTATATCGCACTGTAGTGTTACAATCACATCAAACGTTTTCCTTTCCTAAATGGTTTTTGAACTTTAACAATCACACAAACAGTAATTCACATGAAATATCACAGTTGTTACTGTATAATATTGTCTACTTCAGCCAGAACTTGTTTCTGCATGGTTTATTTTGGGGATTGTAGTACAATAATCGTGGTTTAATTACTGTATAACCCTAAATTGAAATCAATCCAAGTAATTGTTCTTTCAACTATTCTTTATTTACAATAACTGATTTGTGCAAAGGCTCTAAGATTTTCACTAGCTACTTTGCAATTTTATGGTAAGGAGAATTGTACATATCTAGAACTGGGCGCAGAGGAAGACCCAGTTTATGAACTTTAGTTAGACTGTACAGTTGTGATATATATAATGCAGTCGGCTTAATTGGATCATGGATCTCTGTCTTAATTCTTCCCTTTTTCTTTAGATCTTTAAGAGAATTAGCCAATTGTTTTTCTACTTTATTATTGATGTCATAATTACTAGTAATTTTTTGAAATTTGGTTATCCTGTGAGGATTTTTAAATTACTCAAAGTTATCAAATATTAACTGAAGAATCTTAAACTAATTGTTTTGATTATATCTTATCAAACTACCAGGTTCCTGCTATTTACATTTAATGTAAACTGAAATCAGGAACAATATAGAAAAGACACCAAATTGAATATCTGGCCCATTGTAAATTTTCGAAAGACAACAGGGTTATATATAACTAAAATACATTAGTTAAGTACAAATAATGTCAATCGAAAGGTTTCTTTTGACATCATCCTTCTAATTATATTTTGATCCAATCAGAGATTGGGTAATAGTATGAAAATCACAGCTAAACTGTTATTAAAAAGATTGTTTGGATATCAACAATACAGTGTTCTATTGTTTGATAATAAAAATAAATAGAACCATCTAACTTTATCAGGATATTATCTTCGAATGGGATTTTTTCCTTAAATATTTATTCTATTTGTTTACAGCGTTTAACCAAAACCCGTAAATTTATACTTCATACAATGTTCATCGTATTTATAAAAACTTATGATCAGGAACAGTGGGATAGCGAAGAATAGTTAACCATCTATCGTAAATGATATAAGAATAAAAAACAAAAATTCAATTTTAAGTCGTTCTTTTATGTCTGTAGCCAAGATTTATTTGTGTGAAGAATCAGAAATTTGTTGTTACATCCATGGTGATCTATATTATCTGATCACTGTAGTTAACCGTGAATAATGTAGTGATAATAACAAACGAAATAATTACTAATGCATTGCTTTGTCAAATTTTTTAAACTGATAGTGGGCATTTTTACATTTAAGACCAATATGATTTCTGTTAAAACAATCAATTTTATAGTGTACTAAGTATTCAAAAGGATAAATTCACTATTCATATAGAATCAACAATCATAAACATGTAGGTATTTTAAAGACTAATTAGCTTCTTACTATAACAATAATTTCTTACCGTAAGTTTATCAATTAATTCAGGTGTATGAATATTGCGTAATTTCAGTTGGTTTATAGAATTTTCTAATAATTCATTACATTTCGTATCTTTTTCTACTTCATCCATTTGTGATTGAAATATTTCTTTAGCCATGATCACTCTATGTAAATGGTCTTCAATTTCATTAAATAATTCAGCAGTTAATTCTGGTTTGTCTTCTGGTGTCAATGATTTCAATTTATTAGCTACTTGTCTAATCTGAACAACTGTACCATTCTCTTGGCATAAATGTGTTAACTGTTGATAAATTTTCTAAATAGTAAGATGAAAAAAGTGAATGACGAGTTTAGTCACTCAATTACTGTTTAATAAATTGCACTGTTTTGATGAAATAATGTTTCTAGTGGACTTTTTCTGCCTCAGATGAATTCAATGTTAAATTAATAACATAAAACTACCCTGAAGTATATCAGATTTCCTTTAATTATCCTAATCTATACTACTTATTGTTAGCCAGTAGTCCGGATATTTAATATTATGAAACGATTGTTTTATTGTGGCGTTAAAACCGATATTCTGATGTACTAAAGGCTGAATATATTTCATAGGATAGAATTATTTGGAAAGAAAACATACATTTTCACTCAGATAATGAAAGCATAGAGATTTATTGATGTGTAAATTACACTTACATTTTCCCGTGGTTAAAACGCACTAATGGTAATAGTCCTATGAACGATATGCTTAAATGATACCAAAATTTGTCTACAGATGAAATACATCTCTGATGTCCTCAAACTGTTTATCATTGATTATAAGCACGTATGGGATCGAATAAATATAATGTACTACTCGATAACTAGATATTACTGATTTAATTTAGGTAATACACCGTTCATAACATATATTTAATAATTACTCAGATAAACCCATCAATAAGTAACAGTTAACTATTCGACACTGAAAATAAATATTCCATAACTAAAAACAATCCCGCTGTGATAATTCTAGCCGGATCAAATTAAGACCACCTTCAAAGAGTGAATCTTTTTTTCTTTCTAGGTGACACAAAGTGTAATTTCTAATTGACATCCAGAGACAAACATTTTTACAATATTTTTTTCATTAAATTGATAGTATAGTTTATTTTTAACTATTCGAATCGGAAAACAGTGAATTCGGAAAGTCTATCGCTCAACTGTCCCCTATTTTAATATTCTAAGAACAAGTTATTTTCCAACACTGAATAAGAATTCAGTGTATTCCAGTTCATTAATTAAAAATTCACGCACTGATTACCATCTTTTGAGATATTAAGATTGAGTCGAGACTAAAGACAAAAGTGTGAACGTTGCTGACTAATTTTTGGCTAGAATGAATTACAAATCCGCATAGTTCTTCCAATCTTCACTAATCCTAGAATTTATGTGAAGTTTTGAATTTCAATTCATTTCTATAAACCAATCAATTCATATAGTTTATGTATACAAACACAAAATACATATTTAAAAAGAACTTACTTGAATCAAATCTTTTCTTGATACAGGACAATCAGCTGTTTCTAAGTAGTCAGTTACTTCTTCAACACTTAACAAATTTTCATTAAGTTGTGACATAAGCTGTTCTAATTCTTCAATTAATGGTAAAGCTTTATCTAAACGTTCTAGTCCAGACAAAATTTGTAAAACTAATTGATTATGTTTTTCAGATAGCATGCTTAAACATTCATTGTTTAATTTTTCATTAGTATATAATGATTCATCACTATCCATAATATTTAACAAATCAGTTTTTAATTCATTCAATGTTGCAAGCATTGTCTGTAAGTTATAAAAATGGAAACAAATCAAGAAAATATATAGTGTTTGTAATCATGAAATGTAAATGAACGCTGAATATTGTTTATGTAAATTGTAAGTTATTTGGATTTTTTAATAAAACATGCAAATGAAATCCGATTAAGAAATAACTGATGTTATTGTAGTACATTTAGTAGAATATTTTATAGTAAAATATAATGTCTTTTGCCTGTATAATAAGTTTTGCAACACATTGAGTACAGAATCATGTACTAGATTTTGGGCTGTACCATATATTCGAGGATTAATGGTACAACAAGGCTTCACGTAATAACGTAAATGGAGCGACTCGAATCCGAGACCCAGTTTTTGGATATCTTAACCAGTAAGGCGCCATATAACAAATAAAGTGAAAGTCATAAGATAATCAGAATAAAGTATACCATTTACGTGTAGTTAAGTTGTTGTGTACTTGTATGGCTAGAAAAGTAAGAGTATTGAGCTATTCCCCTAATCAGCTTTCTTCATTACCATTGATTAGATGTAGTAACACGCAGTAATTGATAGACTTCACAGGACATGATGTGTGATTAAAATTTCGGAAAATATACATCAAAACTAATTGACGGTGAACTTACTGTTAATATTAAACGAAGTGATTTTATGGAGAATTGTAGATATTTTGAAGGTAGTTCCTATGAAGTATGTGTTTCTGTATACTCACTTACTTACACCTGTTACCCGTCATGGAGGAGCATAGGGCACCCACCAGCATCCTCCATTCAACCTAATCTTGGGATGTGTAAACGTATTGATGAGGAATTTAAGACTAACAAATTAGCTGTTCATTAGTCAGTAAACTTTAGTTATTTCTCACTTAATGTCAGTTTGTGATAAAAATTGTTTTCAAAAAATATTGCGAATTATCTATGAAACCAATTTGCTGAATATTATTGATTATATAAATAAGCTTTATTACATTCACATAAAGGTATATAATGATCAACATTATCAATTTTAATGTATCAACCTCAATCAAACTAACTGAAGTAATAAACTTACTCGTCCACTACTAACGGCTGCTTTAATATCTTCTGGATCCACAGATATAACATATAGCCTACAAAGTTTGTTTTCAATTTGTTTTAATTCCATGTTTAATTTATTTAACTTTGACTGATGAACTGAAGGATTTGATAGTTGAGGTAAGATTTTACTCAATGGTTCAACACGTTCCTAAATTCATATCGTATTCATTATGTGAAATAGTATTTATTTACAATAACAAAAAAAGATAATGGTTAGTATATATGTCTAAAGTATATAAACATTTAATAACAAACAATAAATTAACTTCGAACATAGACAACATCAAATCACATATGAATGTAATCCGATAAAAATTCATCATAATCTTTCAGTGATTAAAAGTTGACTATTATTACTTGAATTATTCAAATAAACAGATAAAATTAGGTTGATCTTTAAGGCAAGGAAACTATATTGACATTTATTGTATAAAGGTGAACGAGTGGACCATAATGATATGTATCATAAACGAAATCAAAAAATACCAATCATTAAATCAGTAATTAAATGTTAGATATAACAAAAGATGTAATTAAAAAGCACAGTCTCATTTTAATCCTGCTTCTATCTGGGCACCCCAGGTAATATCATGGCCCATACACAAATCAAGTGACTTGTGTGACGCATATATATTCTGTGCCCCTTTGTACCAATATTTATGTGTTGAAATAAATCAGTAAACAAATAAAAATAACTCATTTTAATAAATCAAAATAGACACGGTAATGTTCTGAGTAGATTTTAGATGCATTCCAGTTAACTAGTCATAGGTTTACATTAATAAACTTACTGTAATTCCTTAATTCATCTCTCTATATGTAATCATAATTAGGGAATATCTATCTAATTAAAGTTAATATCCATCGAAACAGTTATTTCACTGAAATATGAAATATTTCAACAGATAAAGACTTTCCGGTTTTCAAGATTCTACAAAATTACTTTTGTAAAAGTTTATTAGTTAAATAGTTAGCGTTGAACAAGTTACCTTATTTGTTATTGTTTATCTTATACGTAAATGTCGGGAGTATTTCTCATTAATAACACCATAATATTTCAGTTGAAACTTACATAGTAAAATACAACTCTTACGGTTCATATTCAATCTTAAGAATAACCGGTAGTGTATAGCAAACGACAAAGCGAAAAATATCATTTTGTATATAAATCTGCAATTACCTCCTCTGTATCAGTCTAGTGCATATATGCATTATGTTTACAGTATAATTGTACGAAATTTTTCATTCTCACTTTGAATTTTTAGCCTGATAATAATTGGATTAATTTAGTGATAAATTAATTTACTATTAGATAAAGAGGAAAACTTTTAGCTCAGATGGATGATTATGTTGGAGTTTGATTGTAATTACCAATGTAAACAGCTAGCCTACATCAAGTTATCTGATTACTAGTAACTCATAATGTGATGTGTGCTACTGATGTCGATAGATATAAGTAGGATGTACCACCGAATTTAAATGGAATAAGTGGCGGCAGAAAGTTGAGGAAATCGAAAAGAAGAGAATGAGAACAGAGAGTGATTGATATGTGAATGAAAGAATAACAAAGTCTATGACAAGTGATGGATATTCTGCAAATGAAGTATTGCTGTATTGTTCTCAGATTTTACCGAGATATTCTGTAATATCGTATTAAGATAAATTTGGTTGTTCCCCCTGGTGTTCTCGTTCATTACAATATCGAGATCATTTCCCAAAGAAATCTATACTCAATTTGATTTTGAAATTTGTTGCGTTTACACAAAACACTATCAACTGAGTAGGTGTGACTAAGGCGACTTTATCAATAAGTGATTTGTATAACATCAACTTATAGCTGTATCATAAAGTTAGAAAAATCCACATAGACTCATTGCAGTGGGACTAGTCTCGACAAATTCATGTTCATGATTAAATCTCTGTTAATATTTTTATATTGCAAAACCGTTACATTAAATGAGATAATAATTTGCATTTTACCTGTAATTGAGCTTTATAACTTTCTAGTCGATTGGTCAAACAATCAGTACATGAATGTAATGAATTATATTCGATCATTTCATCTAGATCTTTAATTAAATTATTTGCACTTTTTATACGTGTTTGCAATTTATTTGTTAACACACTGATGTCACCGGTAGATTGTGTATTGAAAAAGTAGTTATCCAAATCATCTTCAATGTTCAATAAACTAGTCTCGATTTCTGTAACATGTTCATCAACTGAACGTAATTGGTCTAGTAAACTTTGAAGATAAGCAGTTGTAGAATCAATCTAATGATTAGAAAAAAGTTTTTAATATTAAAAAAAATTTCAATGGTAGATCAATAAATTCACTGTCGAGAACTATCCATATTACTTCTAGCCATTTAGTGACTTCGAAGAACTTCACTAATTTAATTAATCGAGTATTTGAAACATTAATTCTATTGTTGCATCTTTCCTATGAAATTCTAGATTTCCTAGGTCAACAGTACCTTTAACTATCTATAAACAGATTGACCTTCAGAGTAAAGTTTCTTAATTAGTTTCCTTGTTTTAGTTTCGTTTGGAGTTCGACTGTAAAATATTAAAGGGATCTAGAAATCACCCAGAAAGTTAACGTAACTGGCAATTACTGTATCTGACTAAATATATAAAACAGTATATATTTGGTGAATGGTGTTGGTTACTTTCTTATGAACCAGTCGATTCCTGTGACATCACTAGAACACAGTTTTCATAATTGACTGATATCTACCTAAAAACCATTATTAACTAGAGAAAAATTACCAGTTGTTTCATCATTGTTTCCGATTTGTAAACACTTTCAGTCTCTTAAGAGACTGAGAACGGTCTCTATTTTTCAATGATTATACGGTTGATAATAGTCAATGAAAAATTAATAAGCCACGAGCTGGTTTGCTAACTAATTATAATGTATATCTCAGTGGAAACAGATCTCATAGTGACCAAACACATATAATCCATCCTACTCTCGATTGTCAGTATAGGGTTGTGGAGATTGCTAAATTTCATTGAAATCATGAAACGAGGAATGTTAGACCACCACTGAAAACCTGAGAGCACTGAACGTCTCAACAGTGCCTATTTACGACTTCCCATGCAGGAATCGAACTCAGACTCGCGTGAAAACGCTTAAACTCTAGACCGCTGAACCGGCATCCGAGGATGTAAATGTCTGACTTCGATCAATCCATGATATTTCATGACCATCTGCCATTGTCCTCGGTAGGTAACTACGTTACACACTGTTCGATAATGTAAAAACAATGTTCCAAATTATTGTGAGCCAATTAAAGCATTTAGAAAACTTCTAATGAAATTCGGAAGCCAAAACACTTATATTTTTACTTATTTCGACTGATAAAGCAACTAAGTAATTATTACTTTTAGCATTCTCATAGGACTATTCACAGCTCTAAGGTCAATTCTAGTCAAGTAAGTACCCATATGATTTGTATAAATGAAGTAATTTTGGAAGTAAACCTTTCGTCATATTAATTCTTTCCGAATTTATTTGGGATTCGTAAGTCATAGGTTTGTGGAAGTCTAAAAACAGTTGAGAAATTATGGTCACACGTATTTGGTGCACCAGGCTTAAAAGCTAGTCGAAATAAAACATCACTCATTCATATCTCCTAATTTTGAACTACAGCGACAAGAAATATACATAGAAAAAACACTATAAACAACGTACAAGTAATTTCTTTACGAAGTACACTTACTTCAACTTTAACTAAGGTTAGTTCTGTTTTATATATTTCAAGTTCTTTCATTATTGCACTACCCATAACGCATGATTCATGTAATGCATTAGCTAATTTGTTTAAGCGTTCTTCATCGTCAGTTGTATGTTCTCTTGATAATCTGTCAAGGGACTGGAATGAGAACAAAATAAGGAGCTATCGTCTCGTAGGGATATATATATCAACATAGGGATTTGTGGAGATTGTTGCATTTTCACAGTTGAACTCACGAGTCGATCTAAGGCAGAACACCACTGAAAATCTAGAAGCACTGGACGACCGTTTCGTTTCACATGTGACTCAGCAGTCCCGCATGTGGGACTCGAATCCGGGACTTCCGGTCTAACACACGGACGCTTCACCTCGAGACCACTGAGCCTGAATCCAACAGTGTTAATGTCTGGCTTCAATCGATTCACGATCTTGCGCAAACCTTCATCCGTTGTCTGGGGTGGATGACTGTCTCACACCCAACAAAAGTTGGACTCCACTGGTCACAGTCCTTCACTAGAACTTTAGAAATCCATCTTGAAGCTAGTCACTAGTGAGCACATGATTATTATCGGTATGAGGATTTGTGGAGACCGATTGGAGTTAGACATTAACACCGTTTGTAACAAAATGTAATATCGAGACACTGCTCGGGATACCCATATGTCATTAGTGACCGATAAATAACTAGACAACTCAAAAATTTAAATGTAACTGTATTAACTAGGGGAGATCTAGATCCAGTATTCAGTACGTGATTGGCACTTAGATCCAGGTACATCCAGCTAGTGAGTTCCAGATAGAACGAAATGAGCATCCATAATTCCACTGCTAGCCGATGTTCAACCTTATATATCATATACTTAGTTTATTATTATCATTGATATTCTTTCCACATGATTATTTTTCTTCATTTTCTCTTGTTTTATTTGTTTAAGTTATGGAAAGTTTAATCAACAAACAATTATGTAATCTTACGCTTTTATTTAAAAATTATCACCATAGAGTTGGATAATCATATTTAAAATTCTGTTCATATAGTTCCTCACTTGACTTATGATGATAAATCTTATCTATCAATTGAATTTTTAAGATAAACTGTAAAACAGAACAGTGAATTCGTTTAATTAGATGATTGTTAACAGTGTCACACTATTCACGATCAAACATTGTACAGAGTAATGCTGAATAGATAAGTAGGCGTACTTGGAAAAGTATGTTAAGAGATCTAATTAGTGTTATTATATTCACAGTATGCCAGTATTTAGTCGCTAATGCTTACTTGTTTTACAAAATGAATATTCAGTATATTCTCGTCAAACAAAATAACTAAAGATGTAACAAATCACTCCGTGATTCATGAACCCCAATGAAGAAAAATAAACGAGAGAGCATTTATATTAGCGGACGCAAACTGTTTTACGAGGGAATAAAACAATTAATTCTTATCAATAATAAACTTACTTTTAAAGTCATCTAAATGATAAATTGCCGCCATTAAGCGTTCTCGTTCTGCAGTGACAGCTGATTCTAAATCAGCAAAATGAGCTTTTGTTAATAAGACTTCAGTGTCTAAAATAGGTTGACCTGTTATACTAACAGCGCTGCATGTATCAATTGCAGCTAAAATTGGTCGATTCTCAATGATTTTGTCACTAATCACCTTGAAACAAAATAGGTGGAATAGTAATAAATTCTTTTTTTTATAAAACAAATGTACTGTCGAAATAAGCTAAATTAATTACCATATTGATGAAGCTAAGTATACTCTAAAATACGAAATGTATTATTTAATATTGATTCTAACTGCTTCAAATGTTTCATGAAGAATTATATTGGATATGTTAAAATTCGTCTGAATAATTTCTGTGTAAAAATCTAGTTGTATTGTTACTATTTTCAGTTATATATAATATTCGTTGGCTAACAATTAACAGATGTCTATGAATTCTGTCTGCAAGTGAGTTTATTTTACTAAAAAGACTATTGTGTTTTCACCAAGTCTGCCATCAGCTTTTGTTTTGCTCCTTAATTCGTACATAACTCGCTTCTTGCTGTTTCAAGCTTAGTTTCACATTTATAAAAATATTATTGAATGATACATGATAATATAAACTAATTTATAAGAACACAGTTTAATAATAAATTCGTTGAAAAGAAATCCCTTCTCTGAACTTTGTGTTTTTAATGTTTAGATGAGAACTATTTTCCAATTAATTTATAGGATCTAATATTAATACTAATGTTAGTACTACGACTGATAATAATAATAGTGGCATAAACTGTATATGAATAACCGAATAATACCTTGATAACATTTTCCAGTTTTTTCAAATCATTTGGATCATTTATAATGGAAAATTGTGATAATTGTTCTTTTGATTGATGCATCCAAACTTCCAACTTTGCAATATCTACTTGTACAGCATTTGATACAGTAGCAATAGTAGGAGTTGGAGTTGGAGACAATATTGTTGAACTATCAGTTGTTGGAAATTCAGTAGTTGATGTAGATAATGGAGTGTTATTATCACTATTAGTTGTACCTGTATTATCGTTTGTAATTAATCGATCAGCTGAATCATTTTTACATGTTACATGGGTATTAATTAAAGTTGTCGCTGATGAAGATAAATTTGATAGTATTGTTGTACCAGGAAATTCTTGATTTCTACTTATCATTGTTGAACTGTTGGCTTCAGATAGTTTGGCTCTTAAATGATCTCCATTTGACTTTGTTAAATTTCTCACTTCATTCCAATCATTGTGCAGTGATTGAAGTCGATTAGTGGTAAGCTTTTTTTACACCAAGTTAGAAAAAAGAAGGGGTTTTCAATTCAGTTATCCAAGTAATATACATATACGCATTTATGACATTGTTAACTAACTCCAAGGTTATGCATTTAGGTTTCCCAAGGGTTATTGTTTATCTTCATCTTTATCAATGAGTCTAGTTAGCGGTCATTTACAGTGAAAAATTGATATTTCTACTTAACCTAATCACTTATATTTGAATAGCTGTATTCTATATGACAGTGACTTAATTTAGTCCCAGCTCCTTAATTTTGTCTTATTTGACCATCTCAATTTCTGTTTATCTTATTACTACCTAACCTGTGAATTTGCATACAAATTTATGCAATTTAAACTCAAAACATGTTAGTTCTGATAAATTCATAGTTAAGCATAAAGAAAGGAGAAGGTATGCAAAATGTGTAATTTGGTACACTCACCACTAGTCATCAAATTTTATGAATCTTACTGGAGTTAAAATGACTTGAAATTATCTACGTGTTATGCCAACGATTAAGATGGGGACTAATATTGAAGTAAACTAACTATATTAATCACAATAAGAAAGATGCCTGGCATGAATCAGCTGATCGTCTTCAAATAGACTAAAAAATTCACCAATCTGTCAGCGAAGCACGCTCGAATAGGTTACTAGTAAACATAACTTTAACTAACCGAAATTAATATCCGACCTTTATGTTTTTCTGTACCATTCGACGATAATCGTTGATATGTTTGTAAATAAATGGATGAATACTTGGGAAGTTCATAAGTAACTCCCATTATTTATGCAGGTAATCTATACCAATTTCTTCAGTTTTAAAAAGTTTCCATAAGGAAGTAACGAATTTTTGAAAATCACAAGACAACATTGATGTACCTAGAACACTTAATTTGTTATTATCTGGTAAGAGTTAACAAATGCACACTTTATAGATTGCATATATATGATCGATTCTATATTGTAAGAAACCTTGATCCTCATTTTTATTTGTCCCTGTATGAATTTGTCATTGACGTCCGGTCACTAGTAAAATGGATGAAAAAATGTGAATGGACATGGAATTGAGCCTCATACGTTGTAATAAATAGACGTCTACTTTTATCCTAGTGAAGATATTCTAAATAACCCAAACACTCGATTACACTTTCGTTGGACCAAAATTCCATGAACCTTGATATGAGCACAATACGATTCGCATATTATACACTTCTCATTTGTAATTAAATAAAGTTATCATTCAACATCACAGATTTTAGAAATATGTCATTTTTAACATGGGTAACTTCACAAAGCACCGCTTCCACAAAAACTTTGAGAAACTCATCTCAGAGACAGTCACGAAGAGATATGAAATTTTTGTTTGATTAATTGGTTATCTAACTACTGAAGATCCATGAAGAAAAAGTCACAATGTATTTTTTCAACTGACAGGTAGTTCCCATTTAAACATTAAAATTAAAACACGAATTTCATATATATACGATTGTACAGCTTGATAATAAATTCGTTGAAAAGAGATCCCTTCGCTGAAATTCGTGTTTTAATTTCAATGTATTTTAATATTACAGTATGTTTTTATCGTAACCTCAAAGAATGTCAATATGTGGCGAGTGAATAACAGTCTTTCACTTATTCTAAACTTTTACCTGCTAAGCAATTAACATAGTACAACATAGCTATCTCCAAAGAGATGTAAAAAAAACGACGAACAAAACGAAAATTTTCCTTTTTTTCCAAATTTAACATACTTCAGCATAAGCTGGACTAAAGTACTCCAAAAGTCTGTGAGCAACCTCGTCAACTTTTTGTAAAGTTGGCTTTAACGTTTTCATATCATTTAATGCTTCACAACTTTCCCGTAGTTGGGCTTGAATAACTGGTACTGATGGTAGATGTGCTCTTGACACTGAATCCAAATAATCTGTCATATCTGCAAGCCATTTTTCGATTCCTTCAAATTGATTCTTGTTGTTCAAAAAATAAAATATAAAATTAGTCGTTATTTTAAAATTACGAATAAAACAGTTAACTGTTGTAACTTTAACAAGTGGGTACATTTTTATCAATCGTCATCTAGATGACCCTATCAGGACTCAGTAGCTAAGTGGATAACGTGATGGCGTTTGAAGTGAAGGGTACTGGGTTCGAGTCTCGGAGTGAACATCAGCTCTGAGATTCAGGCACATTCAGCTGACGAGTCCCACAAAGGACGAAACGAGCGTCCTTGATTCTACTTCTAGCCACTATCTATCTCCATTTATTATGTAAAACTATTTGAAATAATTTAGTAGATAAATGAACTTTGAGCAAATATATATGATTGGTCTAAGTAAAATCATAAGAGCGCTAATCGCTACGAAAAGTAAATTTATTAGAATTTGAATGACAAAACCTATATGTATGGAATAAATATTAAATATAGGATAGATTTGAAAAGAACGACACAATCCACATATTGATTAAAGAGTGTAAACGAAGAACTTAGGAAAGCTATACGAGAAAATAATTAAAAATTGTTGATTGAGTAAACTAATTGAACTTAGGAACTTACTTAAAATAAATCCACTAAAATTTAACGATTATGACGCCAGAATAAACCCCTTTCCTTTCAAAAGCATTCAGTTAGAAATGCAGTATGGAAGTGTCTCGTTGAGTAGTTTTTTTCAAACATGAATAATACATAATATACTTGACTAATTTCATCGTATTTTAATGGTTTCAAGCAACTTCCTTATACTTCAGTCATGTGATTATAAACACTTAACTTTTTACCAGGAATTTCACTTTTTAAAGTCAGCCGTGCTAAAACAAAACTACTTTTCAATTCCTTTTGGTTTTCAATGATTTCTCAGTTAATACTAATAACTGACAAAACCCGGCTCCATCTCTCCGTCTTCTTAATCAGTTTGATATTTTTGATAAATCAATTTAGAATGCATTATTAGATATTCCCCAGTTTAAGTTATTTTACTGGAAAGGTGGGCAGAAAGAAAAATAAGATATTTGGGAGGCTATTTCTAAGGGAATTGATTTTTACATTACCTGTGCATCTATTAAAATTTTGTTCATTTGACCATTAACTGCTTTGATACCTTCAACCTATCACAAATTACAGCTAAACAACCATAAACCTATTACTCAGTTTTATATTAGATATCTCCTAGCTATATATACTCAACAAGATTTATTTGTCGTGAGTTATTGTTTTACAATTTATCTGAATCGTCATGAGAGTTTTAGTTTGAATATGATAAAAATACAGAACGTAGTTGGCTGATAATTCCGGCGTTCTGAATGTTTCGGAAATAGATGGATGTTTAGTTGAGGAAGCAGTCATTTTTAGAATTATTGAACTCAGAGTTTTTGGTGTAATGTTGATTACGGCCTTTCATTAATAACTTTATCAGAGTTTATCCTCAACATATTCATGAATCGTACGCCATCCTGAGAAGACAATTTGAAATATGGAATAAAAACGTTTCCCTCAGGGATTTTGAAATTAATTTCTTCAAGATTTCTGTAGACGTATCTCCTCTAGATTTCATATTCATCAATGCAGTTTTATTTTGAACTATCAGTGATTGTATAGGATGTAGTCTAGATGTTAAGTTTCTATCTATGAACTTCTGATTTCGGCCACATCGATGTGCATTGATCAGAGTTGTTTGAAAATAAGTGAATAATTTTTTATGAAGTGTTGATTCTTTAACGAAGTATTAGTTTGTATCACGTTATTTGGCATTTATTTTATTTGAAAATTGGCGAATATCTGATAAATCAATTACCTATCATTTATCTCTTTTACATGTAAAAGAATTAGTATTTACTATTTGAAATTTAAAAAAGAAGATTGTCTCCTTCACTTACCAAAAATAATTCATGTTGTTCTGATAAATCTTGTAGAAAATCAATCCGCGTATTGTTGTGTCCTTGACTGGAAAAATTAGAGAGCAGCGTATTTATCGATCGATCCAATGACACGTAAACACGTACGAACGGCCTAGAGTCTCGATTGGTCCCGCTTCCCTGTCTAGCCCAGTCAGTTGAGTCCAGAACACAAGTCACAACCTCTGAGATATGAATCACTGTATTTCAGATATACTCTATTTATATACTAACCAAACATACCACATCGTACCATAAAAATAGAAAACAACATTTGTACAATATTTAACGAATGAAATAAATAATGGCCAATAGGAAATGTCCATTTAACGTCCAAGGACATCACTAGGCTTAACGTGATAATGATTGGCACATTATTCTGCATCCATACAACTGTATGAAGTGAATAATAATAGGCTTCTTTATGACCTTTATTTTCATCGATATCTAATTTCGATCAATTCTTGATACTGTGTAAATATACTTTAATGCCGTTGATGATCAGTTGCCTCAAGTACCACATGCTTGAACTTCACTGATCGAAGCTTCTTAATATAACTCTGTGGATAACCTTTTTTAATTAGTCACTATTGAACATATGATCATTATTATTAATTTGAGGAGATAACAAGTAAGTAGTTAGGCAGTTGATAAGTTGTTATATCATGGTCTGATTTAACTTGAAATTACATTTAACGGTTGATCAAATACACCTAGTGGATAAACTCATTTGGGTTTAATCCATGACAAGATAGTCTATTTGGTCTGTTGAAAAGTCACAAAATTTAGAACAAAAACACTGTGCAAAGCGCCCCGATTTCCAGTGATTATTTAAACAGAGTCAGTCCATAATAAAACCAATCCTCGTAAATCGATCGCTATAATCTAATAGTAATTCTGATTAATAGTAATAGCTTAACGAAAAAAGTGATATATAACGATAGGAGAACGGATGAACTTTGCTATAAACATACATTTAAAGTGGCAAGTTGTTCATCAGCATCTTCAGGATGACCAATGGTAATTGATTGAGAAATGACATCTTTCACTTGAACAATTAGTGATTTAATATCTTCAAATCTTTCATTAATATCTAAGAAAAGAAAAACAGAGAGATATTTCTTCATAAAATTAGGATTTTCTTATTTAAACAAGTCAGTACATAACTGAGTGTAAATAGGTACATTTAAACAAATAATATCGATATCATTGAGTTGTATAAGAAAAATGATCAACACTGTTAGTATATTACGAAAATGTTAGAACTTTTAAATAATTCTACAGATAAGCTTATCACTAATGTTATTGTATATTTACATGTTCGAAAAGCCATTGAATTGTTTTATCACAAACGTCCAATCAATCAACCAAAAAGTCGAACGACAAGTAGTTACAAATCATTTGTAATTTTGATTAGCATTTCATATTATCAAATAAATATATAACAATAGTTGAAATCATGAGTCAATTGAAGCCAGACCTGGGGTCGAATCTCACGGGGGGTGGGATCGTGGATGCGCACTTCTCAGGAGTCCCATACTAGGACGGAACGGCTGTTCAGGTTTTACACGGTGGTCTAGCTTCAATTGACTCATGATTTCAACTACTGAAATTACTAAAATCTCCACAAAACCCCTTTAAATATATAACAATTTATAAATGTAGATAAAACATTTACAATACAATCTATTTGTCATTTTAGAACGATAATCACTGCAATTCAGTCACTTTGATAAATTTTGATGATGTAATAAGAGGACACTGTGAAATATATTAGCACAAACACTTGTTAAAAACATTTATAGATGAAACAACACAACAAAAGATCAGCGAAACAAATGGAAGGTAAGAGCAACTTTAAGCTTACCCTAGTACTATTGTTTAAAATGTATAGAGCTAATATATCATATAATTCTGATAATCTTCATCTTCTTAGTACACTATCCAAATAATTAATGAGTCAGAAGTGTGCAAATAAACTATACATTCAATATGATTATTGGAGCTAAATTTCTATGCCTCTTAATCAATTTTTGAAAGACAGTTGAAACCTCTAAACTGAATTTTCTTCTTTACATATCTTTAAATTTACATTCTATTGCTTTGATTATATTTTTTATGAAATTGAAGGCAGACTAATGTAAATCGGTTATATGAACAAAAGTTTGTCAATTGAATTGGTTCTGTGGAGCTGAGTAGGCACATTAATTACTAAACCTTAAAGATAAATATTAAAACAATGAGATTTATCTCCAATTCACAGTGAAGATGGATACATAGCACAAGTAAGCAGTGACTACTTGATAAGATTATTTGAAAATTCTACCAATGAATTGTAAATAATCAATTACTTACATCTTAAAATCTTTTTTTAAGTTTAAATTCCATCTAGATGTTCATTATTGAACAGATTAATATTCAAATAACCTTTATTGAATACATAAATATAGATACGCATCTATTATAAACTTTCCAAACTATAATGATTACAATCAAATTTATGTTATCACAATCATTAGATGTTTTATAGTAATCTAAACTTATAATCCAAAATTTTTGGCTTAACATCGCATACTTGACATCATAGTTTTTTTTAGATATCATGCATATTTTTATAATTGGAACGAACAAAAAAACCGAAAGACTAAAATATGAGTTGCTAATGTTCCTCCTGGTACTCTCATATAGAAATCAGTTAATTTGGCTCATTTCATTAAACTGATTCCTATTGTTTGAATGATCAATAACTGACTGATTTTGTGTGGGCATATATATAGGTGTCCACGTATATCTGCATGCAAACGTCGATGCCATATAAATAATATAACTCAATTGTTTTCTTCTACAATGAACATATAATTACTTTACGAAAAAATACAATCAGGATAACTAACTGAGTGGTTAAATCTACTGTATTCTATAGGCTGTGTATTCAGTACATATTTAGGTCATGTCAAACATTATTTAAAGCAGATGAAGAACATTTGTGAACAGTTCCGTTAACATTATTATTATACTTAGTTTATCGATTACTTGTAAAACGTCAATGTACGTATTTTATCTTTGTTTAAGTGATCAAAAATTAGTGAGATGAACACATAATAATAATAATTAAGGTGATCAAGTGATTCGAAAGTGGTGATATTTTACCATGAATTAACAAAGATAGACAACTAAACAGTACTGGAAAATTGTTTCGTCGTAGTGATGTGCATCTTAGTAGTTTGTGTGCAAACAACCTTACATGGGGTAGAACATAGAATCATCACTTGGTGATCATAAGATCAATAGGTCGGAACTCATCAATTCACACATTCGACTTCGGTAGACATTTACTGCACGGCCATTTTTGTATTTTTTTCGAGTGAAATTTTTTTCATCCCCTTTTGAAAAGATTTTTCATCCCCATCTTCCAATAATTTTCATCCTGTTTCATCCAATCAAATAACTAGTTTTGAGTTCGTTATAATTGGTCGTTTATTTCTTAAAATCGATATAAAATATGAGGATTTAATGGCAGAGCACATTTTCTTACAATTATGGACGGTAGTAACATGCAAAGCGCGAGCTCCGTCGTTCCTCACGTTGTCACAGAAACCGATAACCTATTCTTGAGCACATTGTATCTCGTAGTGTTCCAATCTCTTTAAGCGTTGAAGAGCGCCATTAGAACGTATGAAAGAGCCACGTACAGCCATTATGTGGTGAGGGATTCTCAGTTACATAGAGATCGGGAGTTTTATATTAGATTCGTATGTTGGAGAAATGGCCGTAGAACATCTAGCGGTTCCTAACAGCCGAGCAGACGAACGAGGTAATTTGATTAGTGTTATTATAATTTTTCATTAAGGACTACCGTGAACACTCAATGTCCTTCCTTCGTATTTTGTAAGTTACCAACTATCAAAATGACGTCAATGTGGATGCAACGTTAAGCAATGACGAGGAAGAAATTGTTTCGATTAGCTCAGAGGAGTTCATTGAACGAGACGACGACAATGACGAAGACGCGTATGACAACAGACTTTATGATATTTGCAATCTTGCTCAACTGCCACATGAAACTGCTGATGGAAGTACCTGGGTTTTTTGTCCATGCGAAGCAATGCTTCATTTATTTTGTGCCTACGACCCATCAACACACGTCCATGGAATCCACTGTCCCATGTACGGAGCTATAATGGAATAATAGCAACGCCTTTGTTCATGAAACTCGGAACTGTTAAGAAAACGAGTAAAGGCTCTTTTCGGGGCCACCTACAATTCGATTTAAATTCTTTTGTTTCAATTTCTTATTTCCATAGCAAAGGTCAAGTGATCAAACCATCAAAATCCATTTAAGATTAATAGTCATTACGTGATTAGCACCTACGTATTCGTAAACGCTTTTTAAGCATTGTCAAATATACGGTTTAAGTAAACGATTTCGTATAGGAAATGTCATCTAATGAACACTAATCTGTCTAATAATAGTACATGCAAAACTTATTCAGAATGTTTCAGTGTTTTCTCATAAACTTAGTTACTATAGGCGAATGTAGTACTACCAGTTCACTAATACAACGACATCATTTCTATAGGAAAGGTCAACTGAACCAACATCGATGAATTTTAACTAAGCCTTAGTGATTAAGCAATATAATCAATTGAGATTTATAGAAATTTCGTGGATTAGATCATTAAAAGAGAATTTTGGAAAAAACTTATAACTGGTTTTAATAGTTGATGATAGTAATAACTGACTTTGAAAGGTGGTCAAATGTTTAATACACAATTAGTAAAGAAATTGTTCATCGAAGTATTTCCATTAGTTTTTTCTTAACACATCATATGTTATTTTAATAAACGTTATATGCGTAGCAACATATCCATAAATCATCATGATAGAATAATGAATAGGGCATGCATAAATCACGCTAACCGTTAACGATCGGTAAATGAAGCAAAGTAGTAATAACTTCTCTCAGAAAATAGCAAATAATATTTATGATTGGGTACTTTTCCAAACAGTAATTCTTAGTACAAAAGAGTTGTTTAGTTTTATCTGAATAATGGTGTCATAAATAAATGCAAGATTGTCAATTGTGTTATTTTGCTAATCCATTAAAAGCGTTACTTGTTTTTAACTGTACATTCTTTGTAGTTGAGCTGTTTAAAATTATGACAAAAAGTACTTGTCTGTGTAAGTAGTCATGTGAATCGATTATTGTGCTCGTCAATTGGGCTTAACAAATTTTGCACGTAATGTCAACAGCATATTTGCAGTTTAAAAAACTCTCCATAGAATATTCTATGTTGTTGAATAACAAGTTTTGACAAATATTTTAAGTCTGTTGTCATACGCGTCTTCGTCATTGTCGTCGTCTCGTTCAATGAACTCCTCTGAGCTAATCGAAACAATTTCTTCCTCGTCATTGCTTAACGTTGCATCCACATTGACGTCATTTTGATAGTTGGTAACTTACAAAATACGAAGGAAGGACATTGAGTGTTCACGGTAGTCCTTAATGAAAAATTATAATAACACTAATCAAATTACCTCGTTCGTCTGCTCGGCTGTTAGGAACCGCTAGATGTTCTACGGCCATTTCTCCAACATACGAATCTAATATAAAACTCCCGATCTCTATGTAACTGAGAATCCCTCACCACATAATGGCTGTACGTGGCTCTTTCATACGTTCTAATGGCGCTCTTCAACGCTTAAAGAGATTGGAACACTACGAGATACAATGTGCTCAAGAATAGGTTATCGGTTTCTGTGACAACGTGAGGAACGACGGAGCTCGCGCTTTGCATGTTACTACCGTCCATAATTGTAAGAAAATGTGCTCTGCCATTAAATCCTCATATTTTATATCGATTTTAAGAAATAAACGACCAATTATAACGAACTCAAAACTAGTTATTTGATTGGATGAAACAGGATGAAAATTATTGGAAGATGGGGATGAAAAATCTTTTCAAAAGGGGATGAAAAAAATTTCACTCAAAAAAAATACAAAAATGGCCGTGCAGTAAATGTTTACCTGCGATTTTTAATGAATCAGTTAATATGAATTAGTACACTTTAGAAACGTTACAGACACTAAGTAGTACACGCCCATAACTTCATCAGGGCTCGACCATATGAAATGGGAAAATAAACTGATGAATCGTTGATATTATATGCTTGAAGAATAGATTGAAGAATCAGATTATTATCTTCATTTCATCTAGTAGTGTAGCCGAAATTAGTGACAACAGTGATAATGCTAACTCTTTAATTCAATAACAAAGAAAATGTTTCTTTTTTTATTTACAAAATATTCTCTGTAGTCATCTCACTGATGACAATAAAATCGCAGACTTCATTGAGCTATGTTTTCAAATCGTAATTTTCTATTTTGATTATAAGTGATAAATGCTTCAAGAAAGTTTAGTATCACGGTTAACTTTCCTGCAGTCGTAGGTAGTCATAAGAAATGCAGAACTTAGCTAGTTGTACATCGGTCTCAGCTCCCATACCATATTAAAAAAGGAGGATCAAATTATTAAGATGTAAAAGAAAGTCATAATAATGATTGTAAACATAATTGAGGATAGAGAACATAGTCCGTAAAGGACTTAATTTGCCATATAAAACTTAAAAGGTAATTTTAATACTTAGGACTGAAGGAAAGACGTAAATTGAGGAAATCTGCGACGATGTAACGGTTTCTGGAAAATTTCATCCAAGGTTTCCAACCATTGATCACTACAACAGAATGAACTCAAACCTGATAAACGAAATCTGCCAACATGGTTTAGACTAACGGTTATTAAGTTCGTGGACTTCCTTATCCATTCTTAGCAATGCAACAGTTAGTGCTCTTATAATGCTCTCATCCTTACACGAGGTTGTGGATGTTCAAGTCTGCTGAACCCTTCTATTAACCTATTTGGCAGATAGATAGTGTTATTTTAGTCCATGATGCTTCGCTTATACTTTTATGTATGTGTACCATCATGCTTATACAAATAAGTATGAACAAGTGATTGCATGTGACAGCCTATGCCCTTATTTCTCTTCTCGCTTAAATCATATGATGACTTAATCTCATGACCATAGATACTGTCAAACCACCTTTTTTCATTTGTCACACTGTGTGTTTGGTGTAAAATACGTTAAATACAAACTATTTACACAACTTCGGTTCACCTTCTATAAATCGTACATCGTTGAGAGTTATAGTGATGACATATTTCAAGTTGACTAATATACGAAGTATGGGGATAGCCTGAAATATATTTTGCAACACCCTGATATTTTAAATATATTGTCTTCCATAATGCAAGTGTAATTAAATTGATCATTAACTGAATAAACGACTAAAAATTTATGTACATGGAAGTAAAAGCTTTTTAGACGCTAACAAATACATCAACATTTTATTCTTTTATCTAAACCTATTTTTATTTAATATAGTCAATGAATTCTATTCTGTCAGTTTTGATCAGTTCAGTGTGTTCTTAAAATCATTGATAAAACTGCAGTGATAGTATTGAATAAAAAAATTAATTGAATTATAGTTGTTTTATTTGTAAATTATTTAAATAATCAATGTTCAACAGATCAAATAATGTAAACACATAGTATAGAAAGTAATATTTTTCAAATTGATTGAAACCGTTGAAATTATTTAATGGTATGTACTGATTATTTATTTCGGAGACAATTTTTCGTTCACATTATGAATGTTTATTAGTTTAGTTTAACAATGGTATTTTATATTCAATTGTTTGTGAAATTAAATAATTAGTTACGTAACATAATAAAGTATATTATCAGTTTAAGGTCATGAAGATTGTTGAGTTTTAATTGAGATCATGAACTGACCAATGTTAGGCTGTCATTGAATAACCTAGAAGGTGGTCGCATAATATACTGGATTGAGTAAAGTTAAACATTATTACAGTTGGATACTGGCTCACTGGTCTAGAGGTTGTGTTCGCGTGCAAGATCGAAGGTCCTGAGTTCTAGTCCTGGGGGCGGGATCGCGGATGCTCACTGCTGAGGAGTCCCATACTAGGACAAAACACCCATTTGGTGCTTCCTAGTTTTTACTGATCTAGTGATCGGCCCATGATCTCAAATAAAATATATTACTACGATAGGCTATAGGATCAAATTTTTTACATTGTTTGGTAAAAATTGTCGAGTGTATTCTTAGCCTTATGGAAACCATAATGATCAGGAAATGTAAGCCACTTCCGTATGTACAAAAAATGTGTGCGTGAAAAGTAATTCTTCTATATTTTATCACTTCTGTCTAATATTTTCAGTTATCTATGTGGATTTATTTGATCTCTTATCTAATTGACCTTAAGTTTTATATACGATTATGCTGATAATTATATTCAGCTTTATACCTTAAGGATGGAAAACCGAAATTCTTTTTAATCCTTCTCTAGCAAGCTTCTGTACATATCTGATGTTCTCTTGAATGTATCAATTGAAGGTATTGACACCAATTTTTCCGGTGATAGATTCTAAAGATTGATCAGATCGCAATCAGATTATTGAAAAAGTATTGTTCAAATAAATCACATTTTTCAGATCAACTTTGCTTTGGTATTATATTTTCGATATTTATAAAATGGAATTGGTTATTTTTAAGAAAAAATATCCACATTACTTATATGCAAAGATTTATGAATTATATTATGTTGATATTTGTCGTGGTCTTATAGTTTTATCACAGGACTGAGTAGTCAATTAACTTACAGCTTTTCTAATTCAAAGTTCGGAAGTATGAATTTTGGATGTCTTATTAATCATTAGTATAGAAGACATATTACTAGTAAATGAAGCTTTTCACTAAGACTTGTCCACTGTTTATTTATACTTACATGCATAACAATGTGAATAGAGAAAGCCGAACAAATAGTAATGATTGGTGTTACAATTGTAGAACGTAGAAGTTTCGAGAAATATATACATGGATACATACACACAAAATAAGACATGCATATCTATGGTAAAAATAATGATTCAGCCATTTACATACTTGCAATATTAATCTCTGATTCATTACCGGATTGAGACTTCACTTCGTTAGTAAATAATTTGGATTCTGGAATTTCTTTTATATCATCTTCATTTATCAATTTTAATAATTCATCTTCTTTTGATCGAGTTAGTAATGCGTGTATTTTGGCTGCTTCCTGTTGAAATTCGATACTTTGATTGGAAATTCTCATTTGACGATTTGCTTGGATGAGTAATTTATCAAGATATGTCCACCTTTCTTCGATTTCATCAAATAGTTGATCGAGTTCTTCAATATTTTCACCGGCTATTATTTTAAGTAAGTAAATAATAAATCGGTATACTCAGTCAATAAACATAATGTATATCTAGACAAAATATATCAATTACGTTACACATACTATGTAATCGACTAACTTAACTACCTTACATCAATCTTCTATTACGGACAAAGTATACTTTCATTTGTAGAGGTTTTTATCTTCCTGATTTCGGTTTTAAGGACTGCAGTTGATTATTCTCTTTTGTCATGTGTGGGAGGACTGCATAAACATTGCTTTATAATCACAAAATTAAGTAAAGTTGAATAGTGGCTAACAATAGAAATCAGGATATTCGCGACACATCAAATAGACATGACTTCATTTCAGTGTTGGTGTTCACAGAGTGATTCGAATTCAGTATCATTTGCTTCACACGCTCAACGTGTTAGCCAGTGAGCTACTGATCTCAGAGCGAGGTGCTGGGCTTGAGTCCCTGTGTGAATATCAACACTGGGATACCAGCACATTCAGATGACAAGCCATAAATAGGGTAAAACGTGCGTTATGGATTGCACTATTAATCACCATCCAACTTTACTAAAAGTGTAGTTTGTGCGAGAAATAATCATGAAACTATCTATTTATATATCCTAGTATTGAAAGTAGAATAAATTTTGTTGAACTACATAAACACAGCATAATACTTGGATAAAACTATAGACTTGACAGAATTAAAAAATCCAATGCTCTTAATCACACCAACTAGATGAAAAAAGAATAAGATTTGCGCATAAAAACAAAACCACATTAAATAAAGTGTTAACATTTGACTCTTTTAGTTAAAACAAATACTATAACAATGTGATGATATTATTTGCTTTGGAGTACGTTGATTTGTTTTTAAAAGTTCAAATAACTGAATAATTAATTCAAACCAATGTTCAGCAAATCCCCAAAGTACTTCAAATCTTTGCGTCTTGTAGAACAATTATATGGTCATATTAAAAATATATAAATAACCATTCCAATCATCGTTATTATTACCTTGTGATAATTCATCGCGATATTGCTCTCCTAGGAGTAGGACACGTTGTTTTATATGTCGCCAGTCTTCAAGTTCCTTGGTTACACAATTAATCACTCTGATCGCATCATCGTCACCATCATTTTTTTCAGAATGAGGGGATATAATATGTCGACCTAAAACTTGAGTTTGTCCACTGGCTTCAAGTGCACGACGTTTATCCATTGTGATTAATTCTAAAATCTCTGCACTATTATCCAACCAATTTAATAGTTCTTCAGCTTTAGACTCAAATTCTGCACGATAACCTGTTATTTTTGAATAAAAATTTGATTTGAAATTTTTTTAACATCCTAACACTAACCGTAATGAAAAACTCTAAACACTTAAACAATACTACATAACTTGGAGATTTCTACTACTGAGTTAACAGTTCCATAGCTAATTGATTTATTGTTTAGAAATTATGATCACAATAATAAAAATTCCAGGACAACGTACTTCTTATTAAATTACCTGAAATTTCGTTTTAAATTGATAACCTGTACCGTCACTCAGTTCAAGAGTAAAGCACATTCTTACTGATAAATTGCAACGATATTCCCTATTTTAAACAAATTGATTATACGTACGCTTCTATTGTTAAATAGTGTCATACTTACTACGCAACTTACAGACTCTTAGATCAGATTTGTGTAATATCATGATAAATGACCACAAATTATGATGACAAAGAAGCTGTTTAAGTCCTTTTCTGTCTCTATAGACAGTCCTCCAACTGACATAAACTTTTGTGATGAAAACTATCTTGAAACTCACTGATTCAGTGAATTTGATATGTGACTAATGGTAAAATCCAGGGCGCAGGTTTCATTTTATTTTTAATTCGTCAGCTGTATTTGCCTGAATCTTAGTCTTGAAACACATTGAAACTTAACCTCTATACCTCTCACTTTAACCACACAATATGTTATCCCATGAGCTACTGATATTTCAGATAACTAGTTAACAATAGAGGCTGATCAATTGCGGTCCTGATTATTAACAACGAGAAAATATAAACCCTTAACTAATTTCTTTTGATTTAGTTTAAGGTATCTGAAAACATATATTTTCGAAAGTTTTAAAATGTCATCGCTTTTAAAAAATGATGAAAAGACATATTCCAATAAAATAAACTTAAAAAAACATTTATTTCTAACACCTTAAATATTAAAATTATGGAAACTAATCTACATCCAGTAATAAGGATTGTAAAATAATGACCAGATATTATTACTAGATCTTTTCAAATATCAAAATTATTTATTCGGTCAATTTGCTGATTTATTATAGGACTTTAATCAAAGATTATCAGTATGAAGTTGTAAAGAATTTTGAGTTTTTGACTGAGATCATGAATTGATCAATGTCAGACCACTACTAAAAACATAGAAGCACTGGCCGACCGTTTCGTCCTAGTATGGGACCCCTCAACAGTGGGCATTCATGATCCCACAAGCAGTATTCGAACCCCGGACCTTCGGTCTCGTGCGCTGACGCTTAACCTCTAGACCACTAAGCCAGCATCAGAGATTATTGATCAGAAAATACTGACTCGTTATTTATAGTCATTGGAATCAAACTTTGATGTTCGATAATAAGAAGTAGAATTGCTTTCTTCTAACTAGTAATACTCATTGCCATTTATGTGACATCAGACAGTTATTACTTTAAAAGTTAGATAATATAACTATACTTCAATAAAATTCCTTTTATTTCAATACAGTAGATCAATGTGAAGATGTCAATCATTCAGTTAAATAAAAATATTTTAAAAAAAACTTGTCAACCAATGAAACACAAATAATTGCCTCATTTAAATTGCATGTGAAATTCATCAAAACATTTATCACCAGTGTGCAGATGTTCATTAAGTATGGCGTACCAAACACTTCCAATCGTTTTGTTCACTCAGTAACTGGAAGAATGTTACTTATTGGAGTGTAGTTTTTACTGAACATTATATGGCAAAACTATAATTTATTGACGAACCAGTCACATTTAAGAGAGCAGGTCTTGAATTTTAGTGCGAAATTCATTCACTCATTTGTCTGAATACCATTTTGGCATTATAGCTGATGTCAGTTCGTGATGAAAACATTAAATCTAATTCCTAACTCTAACCATCAATTGTAAATCATAATACTAATTCCTCACACTAATACATAACCCTTATTTAAACCTGGTAAGTAGGTAAACATTCCAAGGTCATTTTAACGTTGCTCAAAGGTCGTCCATAAATTATAGTCTTACCGATTAAATTTCAATTTATATCTTTTATCAAATTAAAGTGTTTTTTATCCGGCCTATAAAGCTGTGATACACTAGATGTATTCACAACAAATAGTTTGGGAAAACGGTAGCCTAATTAACTCAGCATGAATTTATAATGTTACCAGCTTTATTTACGTAGTGTACAAAGGAAATATTTAAAGAATTAAGCTGATATTTTTTTACAATTTTCGCAATGGTGTTTATCAATAATCAGTCATTGGATGAGCACTATTTTAAATCATATTGGTTAAATAGTGTTGGTTATTAAAAATACTTCTACGCTATATAACAGAACTTTTAACTGTTATTATAAATGTAATCATAAAAGTATAAATTTTTTATCCAGAATGGTAGCATGCGAAGATTCGTTTTCACGACGAACTGATTTCAGCTGAAATATTTAGGAGAGCAATCAACAACTTTTGCGTCTTTTGTAATTTTTCACTACAGATTACGTCGAACAACACTTGCAAACCATAAGGAGCTGAATCGCTTTTCTATCATATGAAAAAAATTTTCAGCAGCATAAGTCCACAACTCAACCAGGGACCAATCTCAGAACCATCAGGCCCTGCAGTGGACGGATAATCTACAGATCACAAGATCGACATCCGGTGGTTTAGGTTCATAATCTCAGCCAATTTTTTATGTTGCTCGACTACCTTCCATGGACACTAATAGTATTTGTCTCTCACCTAACGTGGTTGAACTTCAATTGTCATAACTTTTGGTAAGAAACTCGTTAATCATCTCTTGAAATTATCGACCAGTTAGCACATATCAAATTTTCAGCGTAGCGGGTTACGGAGGTTCTTAAATATCCTTAATTTTACAGTGTTAACTGACTTTATTCTCCATCTTTCCTTGGTGTTTTTATGTATTGCGTATCGAAAACTCGATCATACATTTCTGCCAAGATGATACCTTTTTCCGCAGTGTACTATCATATACCCATGAGTTATATATGGTTCTCCATTTAATGCTAAGCTATAGTGAGGATTATCTTGAGAAGTACATTTCGGTAAGAAATGGTTAAAAAAAAGTTGACATTTATAGTTGTTTTCAATGAAAGGATTGTTACATTGATTGATAACTGATTGGTAACTAAAGTTATTTTAATCAACACCTTAACGATAATTGAATCCTATCTATGAAGCTAGTGTCTCCACCAGTCTAAAGGAATCACATTACTCACACTACGTTTTCATGTTAGTTAACTGAAACGACTTGCCAAAATTGTCTGTCTTACTGGATGTCAGTCGCGGCCTGACTAACTAATGTCTCATACTATGAGATTGAGTGACACGTGTTTGAAACACACATGAAGTACCAATCTGTTCAAGATTATATGCACGCCTTCCTGACGACTGCTAGCTATCACGAAACCTAGGTCCAGGGTTTCCTATCGTCTACAGTACAGTTTTATTTAAATTTGGAGTTCACATATTGTTTTGTTATTTGTTCAACCTTAGAAAGAGGGATATTAGTTTTCGTAAATAATTCAGTGTCACAATACCCTATCCATGTCTACCCTCGTTATCGATAAAGTCAACCACATGAACCCTCATTTCGAGTAAACATAGAAATATTGAAGAATCAATAAAACAGTGAGTATAATTCAGTTTATAACTCACCAGTTGGCGACGGTGGAGGTTGCATGTCAAAACGCGAAATTTTTGTTGCTTTATGAATCATGAGATGACCACTTTCTATTGATCGTTTATCTTCTGACTGTGAATTCTGAAAAGAAAGCACATAAAAAATGTATGAAAATGCTTATAATTCGTGATAAGACTTTAAACTATACAAAATCAATATTATTTAGAGTTAATAAACAGTAGATATTACCTGTTGGTTTCTTAAAGAACTGTTTGGAACGTTATTCAATAGACCTTTTTTAGTTGTAGATTCAACATATTTCTCAATATCTGTTATATCTTTCTCTGGCCAATCTTCACAGTTGATTTGCGGATCACGTAGTTGACTCCAACGTGATACTAATTGGTCGACAATCTTTTCAACTAGACGACTAACGCCGTCTGTATCACCACAAGCTTCACGTATAGCTTGTGCACGACGATCTAAGCTGGTGAGTAATTGTGCCCACCGGGATTCGTGCGGTGATAAACAAGCCTTGAAATAACAGATAGAAGAAATCAATCAAAGAAGAAACAGTTAAATGTACACGACGTATTTCAAAAAAATAATTAATCATGAAAATAATATTACTTTATTGTAACCTAAATTATCAAGTCAGAATGAGATTGGCTTGATGCTTACTTCACAAACTTTCTATTGTCAGGTTAATCAATACCTTTTTGAGCACTTATATTTAAGTATACAAGAACATACGTTTGCCTTCATATAACATATTATAACCTTAATTTGTGAGTACTTGTTTTATTGTAGTTACTATCAAAGTTTTATTAAGGTTGGTTCATAATGGATAATAATTTTTTTGGCAAGCAAGTAAGGTCTTTCACTTTTATTAAAAGAATTTGGTCTGGAATTTATATTTAAACATTTTTGCATATCCAGACATGATCATTTTGAACTTACACTGAGCTAAAAAGATCAATAATACAGTTAACCCACATATTTATTACTTTTTTACCACAGAAGGACGGTTAGTAAAACAACAACAATTCAAGTTTAAGTTAGTTTATTTAGTTCAAGAAAGAATAGTTTTCAGGTGAGTACTAACAATGCGCGAAATGAATGGATTATTATTGTTTTTTCTGGTACCATCTATCCAATTTATTTATTACAGAAGATTTAGTCATAGATTAGGTTTCAAACTGATGGAAAATATTTGATTTTATTCACCGGGATACTAAGGTTATTACACAATTTTATGTTGTCAGTAAATGATTCACAATACATTATTCAATAATGATTGAGAATAGAGTGACAGGTCTGAGAGCGATTACGCTGAAATGTAAAGTTTCAAATGACCACAGTTGGTGTTGGTCTTTCTGAGTTGAGTGGTTCACTTGTAAAATTTTCATTATATCTCTATGCAATACAATGCACACATATTAAGAGAAGAGGTGTAATATTCGACTATGTTTGTTAGAATGGACTTAGTATATACCTTCGTGATTGAGTTATATTTGTTAGTTGATGACGTTTAATCTATTGATGCTGTAAATTGTATACATCCATTAAATTACTGATTCATTTATGTCAGCATATTTTTATAAGGTTTTGACAAGCATTTGGATCAGTTACAGTTTTATTGTTATTACATAATAAATTCTTCATCTGTAGTTTTTACTTCTTCCTTGTGTCGAGTCAACCGGTGTTTTGTCCACTTACAATAGTCCTCATTTATAATTAACACTTAGCTTCAACAGGACCAAAAGCCCTAAGTTGGAACCCCGCGAGCAGGATTGTGGATGGGCACCGTTGAGGAGTCCCATACTAGAATGAAACGGTTGTCCAATGCTTCCAGGTTACGTAAAATTGTATTAAGAGCCTGAACAGAACTTCAAGCTCTTCTCTTTATTTATTTAATAATACAACAGATATATACGAATTTAGTAATAATTGGTTAAAAATAATCTTATTACTAGCCAAATTAAGTGTACAATATGATAGATTCAAATTCTAAGATGAGGTTTATTTAATCACCTGGTTAATGACAGAAGCATCTACTTTTGCCAATTAATGACAGTTATTTAGTAACAATACGATATCTTCATTAAAACAATCGTAAAACCATACTTGATTTTCCTAACATATTCGTATCAGTTGAACAAATATATTGTTCTATGCACAACAATTTTCTCCTAAACAACCATGATCACTGTCACTATTATCTTTAATGAACTTTAAACACTGATGTTAGTGCATTAAAATCAGAATCATTCACACTTATTTGTACCAGCCAACATTTTCAATGTAACAGATTCATTAGTGTTATATGGGCAATAGTCATAATGGTTAAGTACTATCATGCATTTTTCTCCAGGATACTGACAAACTCAACGAATTCAAGATAGTCCTCAGCAAAAGATTCCAGGCCTTTCATGATCTACTCAATGGAGAAGAAACTACTATAGAGAGCAACTGGAAAGGTATAAAAGAGACAATCACTTCAACGTGCCATGAGGTTCTGAGCCACAAGAAGCACCATCACAAGGAATGGATCACTGTTGATACACTGGATAAGATTCAAGAAAGGAGGAACAAGAAGGCAGCAATCAATACCAGCCGAACAAGAGCAGAAAAAGCCAAGGCACAAGCTGAATACACAGAAGTAAACAAACAAGTGAAGAGGAGCATCGGAACCGACAAACGTAAATATGTGGAAGACTTAGCAATGACGGCGGAGAAGGCTGAAAGAGAAGGAAACATGAGAGAACTGTCCGACACGACAAAGAAACTCTCTGGAAATCGCCGCAAACCAGAACGACCAGTGAAAAGCAAGGAAGGCGAGGTAATCAACAATATTGAAGAGCAACAAAACAGGTGGGTAGAACACTTCGAGGTACTCTTGAATCGACCAGCCCCACTGAACCCACCCAACATCGAAGCAGCATCCACGGACCTCCCAATTAATGTTGGCCCACCAACAATTGAAGAGATAAGCATGGCCATCAGGCAAATCAAGAGTGGCAAAGCAGCAGGACCGGACAACATCCCAGCAGAGGCACTGAAAGCAGACGTAGCAGTAACTATAGGAATACTTGACATTCTCTTCAATAAGATTTGGGATGGGGAACAAGTACCAAGATACTGGAAAGGAGGTCCTATGATCAAAATACCAAAGAAAGGCGATCTCAGCAAGTGTGATAACTACAGGAGCATCACTCTTCTCTCAATCCCGGGAAAAGTCTTCAACAGGGTATTGTTAAACAGGATGAAGGACTGCGTAGACGCCCAACTTCGTGACCAACAGGCAGGATTCCGTAAGGATAGATCGTGTACAGACCAAATCGTAACTCTACGGATCATTGTGGAACAATCAATTGAATGGAATTCATCACTCTACATCAACTTCATTGACTACGAAAAGGCATTTGATAGCGTGGACAGAACAACACTATGGAAACTTCTTCGAAAATACGGCGTGCCTCAGAAGATAGTCAATGTCATACAGATTCCCTATGATGCGAAATCGTGCATGGAGGACAGTTGACAAAGTCGTTCGAAGTGAAGACCGGTGTCAGGCAAGGTTGCTTACTCTCACCCTTTCTCTTTCTCCTGGTGATCGACTGGATCATGAAGACGTCAACATCTGGGAGAAAGCATGGTATACAGTGAATAGCTAGGATGCAGTTGGACGATCTAGACTTCGCAGATGATCTGGCCTACCTATCGCAAACGCAACAACAAACGCAGGAGAAGACGACCAGTGTAGCAGCAGTCTCAGCAGCAGTAGGTCTCAATATACACAAAGGGAAAAGCAAGATTCCCCGATATAACACAGCATGCACCAATCCAACCACATTTGATGGAGAAGATTTGGAAGATGTAAAAACCTTTACGTATTTGGGCAGCATCATTGATGAACAGGGTGGATCTGATGCAGATGTGAAGGCGCGGATCGGCAAAGCAAGAGCAGCATATTTACAACTGAAGAACATCTGGAACTCAAAGCAACTGTCAACCAACACCTAGGTCAGAATTTTCAATACAAATGTCAAGACAGTTCTACTGTATGGGGCGGAAACTTGGAGAACTACGAAAGCCATCATCCAGAAGATACAAGTGTTTATTGACAGTTGTCTATGTAAAGTACTTCGGATCCGTTGGCCAGACACTATTAGCAACAACCTACTGTGGGTCAGAACAAATCAGATCTCAGCGGAGGAAGAAATCAGGAAGAAACGCTGGAAGTGGACAGGACACACATTGAAGTAAGCACCCAACTGTGTCACAAAGCAAGCCCTCACATGAAATCCTGAAGGACAAAGGAGGAGAGGAAGACCAAAGAACACATTACACCGAGAAATGGAGATAGACATGAGTAAAATGAACAAGAATTGGATGGAAATGGAAAAGAAGGCCCAGGACAGAGTGGGTTGGAGGATGCTGGTCAGCGGCCTATGCTCCATTGGGGGTAACAGGCGTAAATAAGTAAACACTATGAGGTAATTTTAAAATTACGGATCCAAACGATGACAAGTAGCGGGTGGGATTAAGACCGAATATGAACCATGTCACCCACAGTTCCAAACCTTTAATTGTAATAATTATGTGGACCTCAGTGAGGTGGTATTCACCTACTAGCATATCCCATCACAATTACCTCGAAAAATTCAACACATAAATTTTTTTTGTTTCGTTTCAAGTATACTATTCATCATTAAATAAGTAAGAAATTCACACAAACTATTGTAGTTTGGACCTATACAATATTAGTTTTATTAAACTAACTCATTTAAATTTAGATTTATGTATAACATGTGACGTTTGTAATTTATGCATCAAACTGTAAATAATGTTCTAAGAATTATATATATATATATATATATATATATATATATATATGCGCATGTTGAAAGTGGTATTACAAAGTCCATATTAATGATAATATGCTTCTCAAATGTGGATAGATGCAATTTAGAATCCTTTCGCCGCCAAATGAGAATTTGTTTACAGTGCAAATTAACAAGAGAGTTGAGCAGACACCTTTTGTTATTTGGATGTACAGAATAAAAATGTATGCTGTGCAGTAAACATTTTAGGAATTGAACTAAATACACCCCTCGTGGGTCCGAATCCCCTCATTCCGAGTATAAGTGATAAACAATTCCGACATTACAATCAGCGACGACCAGATACAAAATGTAGCATTTAAAAAAGCAAGACAATAAGCATTCAAACAACAAGTTATGACAAAATATGTAACGACGTATTAAAACCTTATATACGGAAATTTACCAACACCAGTCACTTACTTAAGATTTGTCAATAGGACTTTATGCACTTAACTAATGATACAAAGTACCTTAATAGGAAAATGTAAAAAATTCGAAAAATTAGAAATACTCGAAAAGTCACCAGTGAAAGCTCGACCAGAATGACCTGCTATTACAATATACCTTCCGAAAAACAGTATTTTAATTAGTGGCGGTTATTATACCACTAAAAGTTATATTTCATACACATGGTTCACCTTACCATTTTGAAAAGAGGGAGAACAAAGATTCTAACAGAATAGCGTGAACTCATTTTACTTCGTAGGTTCTCGTCAGCTGCTTACAACCTTGTGATATTTACATAATGGGTTTAAATTACTTTCATGAGAAGGTTTGGTCGGAAGTTATATTGAAGAAATATTAGTATAGCATAGCAAGGGTGTAAATAAATTTTATAGACTGAATATTGTATATAAATACCTTATGTAAAAGAATATTCTACCACCCTGACTGTGACAACAGTTCAAACGACCAGAAACAAGTGATTATATAATGAGTAAACATTGATCGGAATAAAATGAGTAGAGCTCAGTCGATAAAATTAGATTATTAATTTGGAAGATAGTTGAAATAAAACTCAATGACGTAAATGTTACAGACAATAAATGTGTCGTCAACATATCCGGAGTATTCCGTCGTTTCGCTAATCGCCAGTTTAAGCACTGTGTTTTCAAGATACCTCATAAAGTTATCTGCTATTATTGGACCTAGTGGACTTCCTATTGCTAAGCCATCAATTTGACGATATATGGTGTTATCAAACTGGAATTGAACGTCTGTTGTGCACATTAGTAGTAGTTTTTTGAATTCTGGGGCTGGTGAATTAGATCATATTTCTGACAAACTGTATCAATAGTTTCAAAAAGTGGTATATTGGTGAGCAAGGATATTACATCAAAAGAAACCATGAACTTATCGGCAACATTCGAACGATTCAGTCTATCAATAAACTGAAATGAATCTCTTAACGTATATGTTGCTAATTTCCGGCGGATTGGTTCTAGTGTTTCTGCTAGCCACCGTTCAACTTCGTGATACAATGAGTTGATCATTAATAGGATAGGTCAAAGGGGAGCGTCATGTTTGTGAATTTTTGGTAAACCATACATATGAGGTAGACGTGAGCTATATAGTCTGGGATCATTGTAAGTAGAATTAGCAATCATTTTCCTTTTTAGAAGTTCTCTAAGCATGCTCGTGATTTGTTTTTGTGTTGAATCAGTTAAATCTTATTTGGATTTATCTACCTTGAATCTCAGCCGATCGTCTAGGATCGATTTTACGACTGGATAAAGGTTCAGGTGTCGTCTTAGTAAATACAGCTGATTATATCAGCAAGATGAAGGAACATGTTGATTGACCCTTGGTTGCATTGTTCGATTACTCCCGGATGTGCGTTTCGTCCTATTTGGGACTCATCAACTGGATGTACCTGCATCACACAGTTGATGTTCACTCCGAAACTCGAACCCAATACCGTTCGCTTCAAGGCCATCACGTTGTTCATTTAGCCACCTAGTCCTGATAGCCACCTGCTTGTACAATAAGGTGACAGGAGGCACATATGCCAACAAGAGACTAACCAATTACAGTCTTAAACAACAATCGGAAGATACGAGCAAACAATACTACCTGAATTTAGCCTTTTCAATTTATACTAACCATGTCATTAGTCAAAGATTAAATTTAAAAAAATACTCATATCGGGTTAAACACATTATTTTAATTGTTCAAAAAGTGCTATTTCTAGCCTCTTTCAATATTTTTCTGTTCATATATTATGTATATATTGCATAAAACAGTATGATTTTCAGTTGAGAATTTCATTTAAACCATTTAAAACTATCTTTATATGTTTTCTATGAACAAATTATTATTGTATGTTTTAATTTTCCAGATAAAGAAACAAATAAGATGAACGTCAAGGCTTGAAAAGAAATTCTAAATGAAAAAAAATTTTTCTCTCAATAATTAAGTGAATGAAAAAAAATTATATTTAATACTGAACATAATTGTAATATTAAGAAAAAGAATCTAATATAAGTGAATAGACATATATTTTATTTACGAAGTTGAGCCACCGTACACCATTGTCTTCAGTGAATTGATATCTCACAACAGACCTGGTTGAACTCCACTGGTAACGGCTTCTCACTAGAACTCCAAGTGTATCTCTTGAAGTAAGTCACTAATGATGATTATTATCATGGATCGTGGATGCGCACTGCTGAGGAGTCCCATACTAGGACGAAACGGCCGTCCAGTGCTTCCAGGTTTTCCATGGTGGTCTAGCTTCAATTGACAGATGATTTCAATCTGTGAAATTTCTAATAAATTTTATTTGTAAATATTAACAACTGTTAATAAAATGAAGTATCTTAAGTGTAAAATGTACTACTTATATAAAAAAACAATCACCATGTATTCATTTGTATAAATATTAGTCAATTAACAATTTAAGATAATATATTACATGTAAACAATTTTAATCATGATATATTCTAATAATTTAAATCCAATTTTGTTTAGTTAACATTCCCTAATTATTTAACATTGATCATAATTGTCTATCAATATGTAATTTAAATATTTCAAGGTTAAGTTGTTAAAATTTGGTAATTAGATTTTTAAAAAAAACAAAAAGAGTACAAACTATAATACTTTCAATTAGAGCTACTTTTTTAATTACCTTACAAATAAATTTATAGTCAGGAAAAAAGTTTCTTTTCCGAAAAATGAATTACACAGAAAATAAATTTGCCAATAATAGTGCAGTGTGTTATTTAAAAACGAAAAAAAGTATTAGGAAAGAAATGGAACAAAATAGCTTAAATGAAATTCTATTCAAATTTGATACCAATTAGTAAATTGATCAAACTCAGAAATTACAATTAGTTTTTTATTACTATTATGGAAAGTTTCCAGTTATAATTGTATGTTTTAGGTTTTATTTTATTTGTGGTAGCTAGTTTACACTCTGGACATATATTGAATTTTTATAACTATATAGTTAATAATAAAAATCAACCTTAAAAAGAATAATTTCAACAAACCTCTGATTTAAATTATCATTAACCATAGAGTTGAGATCGTAAGTCAATTGAAGCTAGACCACCATAGAAAAACTGTAGGCCGTTTCGTCCCATTATGGGAATCCTCAGCAGGGCACATACACGATCCTGCCTCAGGAGATTCCAATCCAGGACCTATAGGTCACGTGCGCGAATGCCTAACCTCTAGACCACTGAGCCACGAGGCGGGATAGTGGATGAGCACTTCTGAGGAGACTCACGATAAGACGAAACGGCCATCCAGTGCTTCCAGGTTTTTCATGATGGTGTAGCTTCAATTGGCTCATGATCTCAACCATTAAAATTACTATAATATCCACAAAACCCCTTCTGATGCTAACGACAGAGTTATTTGTGAATAGTTTTAGAGATGGTCTTTCGAATATCAAGTTAAAATATATCATCGATTAGTTTCAGCATTGTCAACAATGAGAGAGATATAACTAATGACATGGAATGATCACACTATATTTTTGGTTGACACTGAAAATGTTAACTAACAAATTCTGACTCAATAATTAGAAAGCCTTGTACTCTTATGAAATTTCTGATTACAGATAAATTCTGATGAATAATTTTCATATCAGAACAATACAGCCACCTAATACATCATGATTTAGGTGGAATTGTAGCAGGTATCAGTTCATGATGAAAACTAATCTCCAATAAATAATCTAAAGGAACCCCTCAACTTTTATGAAAAAAATAACCTAAACCGGAACCGCTTTAGCGTTATATACGAACGAAGACTAAAAGAATGCTAGCTTCCAGAACTTTCATCATATACATATTATTGTTGTAACTAGGTTATTGTGTTTATTTCTTTTTATCATAAGCTTTCTATTACCCATTAATTACTATTGTGTGGTTTACTACTCTTAATCTGTTGCCAGTCTCTTCTATTTACAACCACATTTTAGCTTGACCATGAACAATTGTTACTGTTATTTTATAGTATGATGTGGTCTGGTCTTTTATGCAAATAAATGAATGTCTGAAATTTAACAACGATCTTGGACTGGTGATCGTTGGTCTCATATTCCTCCGCTTCGTTCGAGACTGATTACTATTGGACCAGCCATTAAGTATAAGTATCAGTCTTCTTGTCCATGTTGCGTATTGGTTGCTTCAAATCAACCATGAGCATTGGTTTTTGTTAGGATATAACACCTAAGTCGAAGTCCAATCATGAATAACCTAATAATCTTTGATAACTATCATAAGTCCATGCATATTACTTATAAGTAAGATGTGCACGAAATGCATAAACATTCAACTGTTTATTCAAATATTTTACAGTATCTGAGTATAAAAAATAATTTCGATTTACTAATAAATATTTTGTTTGATGAAACGACTCTATAACTACAAATCTAGGATTTTTCTGCCTAAACAGACAAAATTGTCCTTCTGATAATAACTTTTGCTGATTTAATTTGGATAACCAACTTTTTAACTGCTGATAAAGCGAAAGATCTATTCTTAATGCAACGATTACTGCTACAACAGATTTTTTATATTGCTTACAAGTGCCTCAGAGGAACAATACTCAGTGACTGACGTTTATTAGTTGATCATGTTTATAAGTTTGACCTTAATAGTTGCACGTTTTTGAAAGCTGAACTAAACAGATCTATAAATTTAGATAGCATTTCAAATATATATATATATATATATATATATATATATATATATATATTTATTTATTTATTTATCACTTTCTTACCCCATATAGCTTTTCTAGAATAGTTATTGCACGTTCCAGGTGAGGGATATAATCTGGGAATGTCTGTTTACTCTAGAAAGAAAAAAAACAGAGAAACAGGTAAGTTTTAGGTAAATTAATAATACTTATGTAATTTTTATTATTTTATCTTAATTAATATATTTTTATCTATTGTATGCAAGTAACATAGTAGTTAAGATTGACGATTTAATCGCGTTCAATGTATCAGGAAAATTATTCTTTAAAGATATCATTCTATTGACTATGTAGTGTTAACCGATTAACGATATATTTTAGTTTCATGATTGGATTGAAAAAATATTGTTTAATACCATAAATACTTGTTTGAATCTTCAACTATTCGATGGTACTACGTCTCATCTTTTCAATGAGATTGATTTATAAACAATAATGTCGTTCACTATGTTAAACAATGTTACTGAATTTAAATCTATTATTGGCAGGGAGTCATTAAAATGCAAACCTGAAGAAATAGTTGATAATGCAAACCTTAAATGAAATCGCCATTCGGATTTCGTCACTGTCATTACACAGTATCGAGTTCGCCGATAACTTAAAAATTGTTTGAGTATTCTTGATGCTGTTCATTTAAACAGTAAAATTTCACTCATGTTGAACGAAGAATAATGAGTCAGTTTGTGCAAAACGACACCTTCAGTTTTTAAATTTGTCCAGATCAATGAAAAAACCAATATACTATAATTTAATAAACTCTATAGAGTGCAAACATACAACTTATTGTGATGTTATAACTCTTGCAAAAAAGATTGTACAAGTCTGATGTTTTTAAAAAATGAAAATAGAAAATACATTCATGCCAAAACCAAAATGTATTCATCTAACTGCTATCTACTTATTTATAATACAACAATAAACTGAACTGTTTAACTACTATTATGAAATAGTTAAGTATTAATCTTTATTTTTTATGTTTTAAATAGCTGATTTACATGGAATTTGACTATTTTTCTCTAAACGAGTTTTGAATAACCGGACATTAATTGCTGTAATGTAGTTTACAAATCAGTTCATACATTTCAATGTAGTCATTGAATTTTTTTACTATAATGTTTTACGTACAAGAATTACAAACCCTGAATTCAACGTCAATACAAATCTATCATTGAAGTTAACTTGGTATGCCCATCTAAAAACATATTCACTTAAGCGAAGATAGATAGTGGCTAGCAGTGAAATCCAGGACGCGCGTCTCGTTCTGTTTGGGACTCGTCAGATGGACGTACGGACATCCCTAAATTGATGTTTACTTATAATCATTTAATGTTGACACCAATAATTTCAAAGAAAGACTAGTATTATAGTATAGTTTCGTTAAATTAATCTTAATAAAAAGAAATATTCACATTCCTAACAGTAAAAGATACTACTTAATGTAACCCTATCGTGACTACTACTGTTATTATAAGTAATACTGATTTAATCAGAGATATTAATGCTAAACAACTACGTATTAATTTAATTATCTGAATCAATTCTAATGATTCGCAAATTAACCACTATAATGGTTTATAAGTTGATCATATAGACGTTTACAAAAAGCCCTGTTTAAACAATGTCACCGTTTGTTAACAAACAATACCCGTATATCGTTGTACATAGCAGGAAAAAGAAAATAATTATTGACAAAGTAAATAATCCATATAAACTAAACAAGAAAAAGAACTAAAACAGACTTAATGCATTTAGTCTTTACTGAAACTTTCTCAATGTTAAAAACGTTATTCTACTCATTGTTAAAGATTTAAAGATAAAATGAAATACATGGAGAACACGTTAATGAATATGATTCAATGAAATTAATTTGGTTGTAATTATTACCAGTAATTTGTCAATAGTAATGTGGAATAAAAAAATTGAGATAGTTTATAAGGTTCTGCTATTTAGTTTGTTTGTATTTGTTAACATGAATAATAGTTAAGATCAGAACTATTGTTAGAATTGTATAGTGAATAAATAATTTCCGTAAAAGTAGGCATTTAGTAAGTAAAGAAATGAAATATAAAAATACTTCACTTTCACTAAGCTTTTCATCATGCTTCTACACTTGTATATATTTTCCGGATTATCAATTTTATGTTAAGAGTCAATAGTATTTCAGTAAAACTGAACTTATTAACAGTAATGCAGAGTATCGAATTATTTGCATTTTAGAAAGATGAAAACAAATAATAGGTCATTACTAAGTTCAATGATTTTATTTGTCGAATAATTTGACATAGGTTGTTATAAAATCGGTATATCAAATGGTAAATAATTAGGGATTTGGAGAATCTTATTATATGTTCGCGTGATATTCACTTAACTTTACAGTTAATGCCTCTCAATAATTAGAAATAAGAACAAACTATTTGAATGAGTCTCTTTTATGTTTATCTGCTCATTTGGATGCTCATATATTGCTATGTTCACAAGTCAAACAAAATTGTCTTCAAATTTCTTAGAAATGCATTACACCCCATTGCACAAACTAGCGGATATCAGGACTCATTAGCTAAGTGGATAATGTGATGGCTTTGAAGCGAACGGTATTAGGTTTGAGTTTCGGGGTGAACATCAACTCTGAGTTGCAGGTATATCTAGTTGACGAGTCCCATATAGGACGAAACGCGTGTCCTGAATTCCACTGCCAGCTACTGTTCATCTTTGCTTGTAATGCTTATGACTTAAGGCAGTATCGAGGTAATCTGCAAAGGATGCAGATATGCCAATGAGATAGTGATCAATCGCAGTCCAAAAATACCAACAGGAGGATTCAAGCAACCAATACAAAAATGAATATATTACATAGTTTGACAAAAAGTGATTAACAGAAATTATTAGTTTTACAATTCTTTATTTATGGATGCTCGACACTAAGTTTACATGAATAGAGTTTTTCAAACAACATCTAGAGTACCGCGTAGCTTACCGAATGATTAATTTATTTATCTACTAAATACGGGTAAAATCAATATAATCAAACAAAATCTCGATGTTCAAAAGACATGTACAACCGCTCCCATCACCTAAATCGGTAAACTAGTTTGTACTTATAACTAGTGCTCAGTTGAACAAATCACAGGGATTTAGAAGAGACTTTTTATTCTCCTAATTTTCAGAATCTCATTAGACTTCTAGCAACATTTGTCACTACAATGGTACTGATCTTATTATCAACTTTGAAACATCTATATCAGTATGATTTTAAAAAAGTATTTCTTTCAGTTCGTTTATTCAATAGTTAATTGGTGTCTTTTCAGAATGTAGTCTGAATAGTGGCTAGCAACGAAATCCATGGTGAGTTTATTCTTATTTATAAATTACTATGTGGATGACTCATTATTTGAGTGTTGACGTTCCCAATACGTTTTGAATCTAGTATCTACTGCTTCAAACAAGTATTTTGGATCCATCAGAAATATAATCAAAATGTAATAGCATGCAAGTCCATGACATTTGATCGAGACAAACTCATATATAAAGGGCTTGATCGGTTTACTCTTGAATATCAATAAGACGAAAACTGAAAATATTTTAGCTATTTATTTATGTATATCATTGTTTCCTTCTTTTAGATTAGTTTGATATTATAAGAAATAAAATGGCAAAGAATTCTAGAACACATAACGCTCTATCTGAAACAACGGAGTATGAGTTTCTTGTAGATGATAGAGTTTAGGGTTTTCAGTAGGCTACCTTAAAATATGATTCAGAACTAAATACACTCCTTTGTGAAATTGAACTATTTTGCAAATTTGTCGACAGGAATAAATGTTTAATGATACTTCAGCTTATGATATCCGGAAACTGAATATTTCGGAAAAATCCAATTATTTTGTGTATTGATATCAGTTGGACAGTCTGCGAAAAAGGGAGTTTTTGTACAACACATTTTGGTCTTTCAAATTTCTTGTGGTAAACACGTTTGATTAAATTTAGAATTTCCAAATATTTTATAAGCTATATTTTAGCCTAATTATTTGTTAACTCTAACCGACCCTATATAATTTATCAATTCAGTGCACAATGGGCCTAGAATGCAGTAGATTCTGTCTGCTAGAGACATATAAGTTTTAAAATTCAAGGTTGTATGAATAGTTTTTAACAGTGACTCAGAAACTGGTGAATTAATAGAGGCTATAATTGTGTGCTTTGAACCAAATTATCGGTCTTCACAAATTAGTTACCCGACTTATTTATACATGTACGGATTTACAGACATAAAGTACATTATTGTAAGCGATTAGTTTTCCAAGTTAGTTAACTTGAAAACAATCAGTGAGGAAAACAAGTCATCGACTTATTTCAGTCCCAAAAGTGTGTGCATACAATTTAACTGTTTTTGGCAAATTTATATTCATTTGAATTTTTTAAATTTGCACTGTAGGAAATCAAATTCATTTGACACTAACTTTTAAAATAAAGTTTCTGCTCATCGTTTCATAAAATTAGCATATTTGGATACTTTTTCTTCAAGTCATGGAGGTCATGAAGAGAGTTCTATTTTCTGAAAGCCTAATACTTTTTTAAATATAGTTTTCTTCACGAACTGGTGCTACATCAAGTGCACGCTGGAAACTGATTTGGACAAGTAGTTCATTCAGTATTAAAGGTTTTCAACAGTACAAACTAATTACTACATACTATTTATATCCTTTTATCACAAAATCATTTATTTAAGTTAAAATAGAGCAAAAACAACAAGGTCTGACGGATAAAATGAACTCAGCACATTTAACGACTTTTCATTAGCTACATACAACCTAAAATTACAATGATCAGTATAATTGTTAATAAATATTGAACATAGTTTGTAAAGTTTGAACAAAGTAAGAAAAAGAGAATTCAGCGAAGAAAATTTTCTTTTCGACGAAATCATTTACTTAAGCTGTACATTCGTATGTATAGTTATATGGAATGTACAGCTTAGGTAAATGATTTCGCCGAAAAGAAAATTTTCTTCGCTGAATTCTCTTCTTCTTATTCAATGACACTATGGGTTATTTTAATTATTTGAACAAAGTGCTTGAAACGTAACCGAAATCATATATAAATTCTGCAAATTAAGGTATGTTCATCATTTGTCAATGATTATGCTAACAATTATAATTCTAGGTTGTATTTTATTCTGCGAGCATTGTTTTTCGTGCTCTGTTTAGATTTATCAAAGGATTTAGTTGTTTGAAACTTATGTATATTTTTCATGACAAAATTATCAACGTTCTAACATCACCAGACTTAAGATTGTTTCAAAATCTAAAACATCTTTCCTCTGTAGATGACAATGTTAATTACTAATCAGTTTTTAGGACACTAGTGTATTTATTAATTTACTTACTTGCTCCTATTATCTTCGTGAAGGAGCATAGGTCACCCATCATCATTCTCCATCTAACTCTGATCTGAGTAATCCTTTCCAGTTGCTATTTATCCTTTTATATCTGCTTACGATTCCCGGCGCGGTGTGTTCTTAGGCCTTCCTTTTTTCGTTTCCATTCAGGATTCAGTTTGATGATTTCCGCAGTGTAAGTCCTATTTACTTTAAGCGTCTTTTCCTAATTTCCTCTTTAGCTGGAAGCTGGTTTGTTCTCTCCCACAGTAAACTATTGCAGCTGGTATCTCGCCAACGGACATTCAGTATCTCTCATGGATAATTGTTGACAAATACTGATACCTTTTTGATAATGGTTGTAGTAGTTCTCCGTACAGTATAACTGTCTTGACGTAAGTATTGAAGATTCTGACTTTGATATCGGTTAGCAGTTGTTTTGAGTTCCATATGTTCCTTTGCCAATCCTCACCTTTACATCTGCATCCGATTCTCCTTGTTCATCGATGATGTTTCCGAGGCACATGAAACTTTACACCCCTTCGAGAGTTTCTCCATCAAGTGTGGTTCGGTTGGTATTCTCCGTGTTGTATTTGACGATTGGTTTTTCCTTGTGTATGCTGAGGCCCATTGATACAGAGACTTCTACTACACTGGTCGTCTTCATCTGCATTTGTTTGTGTGTATGGGACAGAAGGGCCAGGTAATCTGCAAAGTTCAAATCGTCTAATTGCATCTAAACTGTCCATTTTATTCCATGCTTCCCCTCAAATGTAGGGTTCTTCACATTCCAGTCAACCACTAGAAGAAAGAAGAGGTGGGAAAGCAAGCAGTCTTGTCTGACTCCAGTTCTCATTTGGAATGAATCTATCAGCTGTCCTCCATGCACGACTTTGCATTGTAGTCCGTCGTATGAATTCCGGAAGACATTGAGGATTTTCTCAGGTACACCATAATGTTTAAGAAGGTCCCATAAGGTCCTCACAACCACTCTGTCAAACACTTCCCATAGTCAAGGAAGTTTATGTATAGCTGACAAAAAACACTTGACGATCACTAGTGAAACTTAACAGTACATGATTATATATATATATATATATATATATATATATATATATATATATACTCGCATTTCTTTTTTATTTTGATATACCACTTACACATGCCACTTTTTGACTTGCTAGGTACTTGCATAAATTAAACAAATTTTCATGATCAGTAAATATTTCCAATACATCATTGATTTCCTTGACATTTGCCTAGGGGGAGAATAAAAATAAATAATCAAATATGAATATACTTATCAATAATATGTCTGTGTTTATAAATATGAAATCATATACATATGTGAAAACTTTGAAAGAATTATTGCTACAGTCATATGTGAACCATATTTGTAAAAAAATATCAGCGACTGAAATTAAATATTCCTAATGTTTTGTCCAGTAGGTTGATTTAGGTTTTATCAAGAAAATTTCTCCACATAAAGTCAGACCGGAATATGATTTGAAGTTATAGCCGAAAGATGACTTGTTCACAATACTCGTACACGAATAAATAACATTATTAGTTCGAACAACTGGGTTTTTTTTTCAAAATTTAACATAAAGACGTAAATTCTAGCAGAAAAGTATGATATAACGACATATTGACTAATCATTTACCTGTTTCAGTAATACATTCACCCAACGTTTGAACACTCTGACTTGGGTTTGAAGACATCTGTTATCTGTAGAAATGTAGGATGAAAAATAAAAATGTTAAAGTTTATTACATAAGTCAGAACAAAAAATTCACTATATATATATATGGTTAATTTATGAAGTGGCTATTCGTTGATTATTTTCAGTCCGGAAGTAAATTTAGTTAAAAATTGACTTCAGAAATCTTCCTAATCGAAAAAACTAGTAAATGTATGATGGTTTGGATGTTAAACGTTTAAAATCACAAATTAGCTAGTGTTAAACACTGAACCAGTAAATTTCTACCTAAGGTCTTAAAGGTATCTTGTTAGCTATACATGTTACAGATCATCAGTTCGATCTCTAATCTAATCTAGTCGTTTAAATTAAAATATTTGTTCAATCCTCCATAATGATCAATTCAACTATATAACCTTAATGTTGGTTCATTATGAAAATGGTCTTCCTGCTAACTTCATGAATTTAGAGAAAATTGAAGAAAAAAAACAATATGATTTCAGTCAACCATTAAAAATGATACAAAATACAAAAATCCAATAAGTAAATGAAAAGTCTTAGTGATATAATAAACTAGTTCCATACATATAGTTTGTTGTTTTTCTCTATGTAGGAAAAATATGGATTACATAACAGGGGGTTTATAATTGTAATGACATGTGGTTGAACATTTTCAACCTTATAATTATAATTACATTAGGTTATAAAATAAGCAACCGTTTTATTTTTGTCTCAAAGTAAAAATTACTATGTAGCAATAATATTAAATTAGTTCCATGTTCTATAGTATTTGACTGAACTTGTGAAGTAATTAGTGCTAATTGTTAAATGTTTTTTTTATAAAAAAAATCCCACACTTGTCTAATCATAAATTTTAAGAAATTTGTAATGAAAATAAATTTATTCTATCATATGAGAAACAATTTGGAAATGTAAAAGATGATCATTTCATTTGTCAGTAAGTTTATTAACATAGAGATAATTTTATGTTCAAATCATTCATCTAAACACTTTACACCTTCATTAAAATACTGAAATAAAAATTTTATGATGAATTGGAATTGATCAAAAAAGAACAATATGATCTACTTTATTATCTTTGAAAAGTTAAATATATCTACATCAATAAAATAAAATTGAGATTTTTGACAAACATTCATTCTATTACAATCAATGAATACATTACAAACTTGAATAACACATTTGATGAATTTACAATTGTTGAAAAAATCAAAGTCCTTAACATTTCAAACTTCCTTTAATAAACAGTTACTAGCTTATAAGCTAGTAGTAAATTGTTATTTTTGAAGAGTTCCCGTAGAGTGAATTTCATATAAATTTCTTTTTTAAGAGTATTCACAAAGTCAAGTAAATTGATTCAAAAGTAATGGCGATTTAAACCATCATTATTATTATTATTATCATCATCATCGAGTAGATAATAGCATTTCACTTATTCAAGTTATAACTTAGTATGGTATATTTTGTTTTTACAAAGACTTTGTTTTTTATCGTGTTTCCTTTACTCCATCATTAAATGACTATCTCATTTATTCTAAGTCTGAAAATATTACTGTTTCCATGTATGAAGCAACCGGTGACTTGCTGGAATCATAATGTAAAAAAACTACACCTTAGAATGCTTAAGCAATTAACTAATGCAGTATACAATCTCCTATTCTACTGCTAGCTAACCACGATGAAATATCCTCTGAATTCTTTATACTGACCAGTATGGTAAAAATATTGTTAGTACCTTTCCATATATGCATTTAAACACGGCCAATGATGTGACAGAAACATTTGGTTGGCTCAAACCAACTAAATATGATTAATCGACAAACATAAACTCATATATCAATAATATAATCAACTATTCTGAATTTATTAATGAAACGTTTTGATTCTGTTAACATTAATTCCGACTGAATAATGTTTTATCTATTGAACTATGAATTCATTAATAACTCTCTTGAATACTACTTATGATAAACTAAAAGTTATGAACTGTATTGTCGAAACAACATAAGTTGATGTAGTGCATTTACTGCCTAGTATGAATAATTGAATTTCAGATACTATCTGTATCGATCCTGACAATTTAATATTCAAAAACTTCACTATAGAAATCACTAATTACATCAGTTTGAGAAAAAAAGAATCAACTAAATGGTTGAAGATTAAACTGTTTTTCAAACTTTGCTTATTCAAATTAATGTTGATTTCCTCAACAGTATAGTCATTATCAATGATCTATGGTTGATGACTACAGTTTTCTGGAAAATTTGTATAACATCACAATAAGTGTGATAATGATGTGATATCAACTGGAAAATAAATCATGGAGTGGTTGGACAGTTATTTTGTTCTAAATAAGGACTTCTCATTATATATATATTGAAGACGGTTAGAAGAAAGTTAGGGACGATCAAACCAAAACGTGGCATCAATCCTTGAAGTCACTAACGTTTGGTCTAAACCATGTTGGTAGATGCAGACTATTTGGTAGAGGCCCACGCAACTATTGTAACCAATGGTTGGAGACTCTGAGTGACATGGCCCATAATCAATTACAATGGCGTAGGTGTATACGCTTTTTGTCTTCCCCTAAACCGTGAGATTAAAATTAATCTAAACCTTTCTTTCTACGAACCTATTATATCACTATATACAATCTTTTATATATTACTACCGTTGAAGTAACTACTATCAATTTGTTGCCCATCTTGCTGTGCTAATGAGGTGTGGCAACTTGGACCGATGCATACATGTGTCTGGTCCTAAGTTGTAACTGACTTTTATATATATATATATATATATATATATATATATATATATATATATATATATATATATATATATGTTTTAAAAAAATATTTCTAAGAACTCCATGAAAAACTGCTTTTTTAAATTCCAAGAAATATCTGTCAGTTGCTAAAAATTGTAAATAAAAATAACCCTGCAGAGAAAAATACACCTATCATCATACTAACCTTTGCACAGTAATAATAAAGAAATCAATGATGCGCAAGTCACGTAAACGAATGACAACTTAATTAGAATTACATTTTAAAATGTCCCATAAACTAGGTTACAAAGTAAGAATAATAATAAGATGAACGGAGGGAGTAAAATTTGACTAAAAGAAAATTACTTTCACGATGTAAATGTCAGACATTTTCTTTATTTTACCATTGAACAATCTATGGAAAATATTAATGAATAGGTTATGAAGTAATGTTCAGTTGTTGAAAAGGCTGAAGTTCCAAAAAGGTTATCGGATAATATTCATAAATATATGTTGATTTATTGCAAAGTGTTGTGAAAAATACTACTTCAAAATTCTATCAATACCTATGCATATATCATAGTTTGCATCATAATATTATGGTAAATTCTAGGATAAAATTGATTGTATCTATAATTCACAACTATTGTAGTTTATTAAGAGTTTACGTATAAAATATAATAAGATAATCACCCGGTCATCGTTCGACTTATGGTGACAATTTAAATGATATTATACATAATATACTATACATCACTCAACTTAGATCATACCATAAATGGTGAAGTCTTATCTAGGTTACATACAGTAGTGGACTTAGGTACTCCCACGACTTGTCGTTTACAGAACAGATATTGAAACAGACCTCTAAGTCTCAGCATTTTGTAGGTTACATAAATCGAAACCTTTATAACAATGAGTCACGTATTTTAATGTACAAAGTTTGTGCTCGACCTCTTCTAGAATATTGCACGTTTATTCTTAGCAGTGCGCTCATAAAGGATAAATTAAGGCTGGAATCAGTACAGAGACGATTTACACTTCGTATTCTTGGAGCTGATTGTACCTTAACTTATAATTCTAGATGTAATAAACTTGGGCTAGATCCTTTATGGAGGAGGAGACCCAAACTAAATCTTATATTTTTCTTCAAACTACTTCATAAACTATCGTTTACATCCAATCATGCGATTCAATATGCAGAAACTCCTCATTATGACATCCGTAATTCCTTGGCACTAGTGAAACAAACTCATTCTAAATCATCTCTTTATATGAATTGCTTTGCCTGTAAATTTTCTAGACTATGGAATAACCTACCACAATCTATCCGTACGATAAAATCACTCCCATTATTTGTTCACTGCATTGATGCATACTGCTCATCTGAAAATGTATTGAATGTTCTAGCACCTGTAAGTGTATCTCATTCCACAAGTAGTATTATAGGAACTTTAAATGTTTAGTCATTTTTACTAGTGCATTCCTAAAGTAAAATCACCTACTTGCTGTCACTTTATGTTAACACCGTCCCTAGCAAGTTTAACTAATTTGAATAATATAAACAGTGTATCACTGTGTCACATGACACATGCATTTTGGTAGACTTGATTGACATATTTTGGTGATTACTGCTTTGTAGTTCCGTGCTCTCTGTTTTCGTTTTAATTTCTCTAGTTGTAGATAATGATCATTAATTCGATCTGACAAACGAAATGACCTTAATTACACCGTTCATAAATCAACAGGTTATCCATTTAAGAAAAATTAAAAGTTCCCGGCTGATGCATTGGATCGCTGTAATACATGTACTGCCTAAACACTCACTGAACTAGTACACTTAAAACTTTCTACTATCACATGTTTGCTCTCTACATCTAATGTTACTGTTTATATCAAATTGATCATGCCTGTAAACTGGCGTGAATTCTGTAATCATTATTTTCAGAATATATAAATTGTAAATTATGATAGCTCTAGGTATATCCCTTGTGGTTAACTAATTAGTGTAATCGGCATCGAATATACAGGGTTCAGAACCGTATTGGACAGTGAGAGTACACTTAAGATGTTTGAAACTAAAATGAAATAATTGGTTAATTCAAAATGTACCTCAGTAGTTTTTACTTGTAGTCATTTCATGATTAAAACATTGTAAAACTGGTCAAATTCGATACACCACCTAACTGAACAGCACAGTTCACTTATACTATGAGTGATCACATACCATGAATTAGGTATTTTGAAATCTGATAACTTTGCTGCTAGAAACTTTATTACTTTCTTCCTAGCCGTTTACTATAATCCCAGATTACTTCTACACGTCAACTCGAACAATAGGGAAAAGTTGTAAAGTGTGAATAAGAGCTTTACTTGAAGATTAGTTTATGTACAGAAAATCGAAAGTTGATTTTTCAGAACTTTCTCGAAACATATCAAATATCTCAACTGTATAGGTAACTATCCAGTCAAAACCATAACACAAAATCTTTCTTTTTTTAGATATTTCTGATGAGCTTTTTTTCATTACTGATCGGATGGGGTATTTCTTGATGTTTTCTGGGCTTCTAAAGATTTTGATGAAGGATATTTTTGGACTCCCTGGAAATAACTAGGAAAAATATCACCTTACGAAATTAATATGTCGTCATAAGGAGATACTAGACAGTATCAGGTCAATATGCTTCCCAGTAACTGTCAGTTGATTTCTTCAAAATCTAGGAAAATTTAACCGAATGACATCACATCATAGGATCTTTAGTAGTGTTATCAACTTATCTAAACAATCAAGAACCATTTGAACAGTATATACTACCTAAATTATTTAGCTAAAAGACATATTAGGGAACTGTTTTCTAATCAAAAATACGTTCTAAATATCCTAGGCGGTCCTATCAAATGAAATAAACCGACACAATGAGAGATAAAACGCAATACGTATTTACATTATTCTAGGGGATTGTATTTTAATAAACTTCAAAAATTTGCAATATTTATAAACAAAGGCTACAGATCCTTCCTTTTTTGTATAAATTGTATACAAACATAACATTACTCAAAGTTAAATACATTACAAGGTAATGCCAGAGAGCTACTGAAAACCGGAGAATATTGGATAATCATTCCGCTCCAATTAACAACACCTCATCAGTAAAAACCTAAGGGTGCATATATATGGTTAAACTCATCATCTATATAATATTTCCATCTGCTTACTACAACATTGAGTATACTCTTGTACTTGTCGTAATAATAATGAATATATCTGTCATTTTATATCAAATAATCTACGAATTACTTACTATTATTTGTTTACCAACTGAACAGAATCGATTATTTCATTGTAGATAGGAAAAAAGCCAGTAACAAGTTATCATTATCATCATCAAAGTTTGGTTAAACACACTCCTGTAAAATTGTACTAAAAATACTGCCGAATAGTTTGCTATGATTAACAATGGACGTTCGTGTAGACAAGTGGTATATCTTATTCCAACCAATCAAGTAAACTAAAACCAGCTTATTATGGAAAATATAACCACTAGGTAGTAAGCCAATTGTTTAGAGTAAAGCTTCACTTAGTAATTAATATATCCAGTCGTTTATTAAGCAAGCAGTTTCCAGATACCTCATCAGAGATTCCAAAGTTTCAAAGGTTCTACATTAGAGAAAAGTGTATCTAGTCAATATTCTTACTATGGGTTACAATAGATATAGAAATAATATAATTGTGTGAAAGATGGTTTATTGATCTCTTTAGAATTTTATTCATTTTATATGGTCTTTTACAATATCCAAAGAATTGAAGCTTTTTCTAACTCGATCATGGCTGCATTCATTGCCTAAATTGATTATTTCTATGAGAATATATGCTACTTCCAAAATTGTAGTAATATATGCGAAAAAGACAAGGGATGTATGTCTTTCCGCCTAATTGAAGTGAATGAGTCTGAAGACAGAAACAATAATTGAAAATTAAAGAAAGCCATTCTCTTAGTCAAATTCTTAACTTTGACTCTTTTGATTATCAGACAGCCTCTCTGCAAGGTCAACAAACAAATTTATTTGATAACTACATGTCTTAACAAAACTGTAGCACTAATTGACATCTGATCATGAAAATAACTACTATCAACAGTGTTTATTCTAGCCGGTTCGTATAAGAATCTACTAATTAAAAGTATTCTAGGCATTTTAATTATAGTTTTTATTTTCTGCTGAATAGAATAGTGACATTACCTTTAAAAAATAAACCGAAAGAATAATCCAAAATCTCATGACTAAAGCAACCTTTGATAAGAACGTAAAAGAAGTTGCTTCTTGGACATTTAAAACAGATGAAATCACTGAGACTCCTAATCAAATCCTATTTAACTTTTACTATATGAAATGTAATAGCAATTAGTCTTAGTTATAAGACACCGATCAATTGTAGTTCTAAACATCATTGGGAAGATTTAAACAAATAAAACCAAATGAATTTAACCATAGTTATGTTGTCAATGATAACCCTTCCAAGTAGTATTTAATTACTTAACATCGTATCATACTGTGAACCTGGTGAGCAAACATTATTATTAGTTAAACAAGTTATAGGATTAAAATATCAACAAATCTATTTTTAATTACTAATCGCAAATCAGTCGAACTAATTACAAAGTATGGAAGGATTAACGAATTCAATAAGCTTCCCAGTTTAATAACATAATAGATGAATAACTTATTTAACTGTCGGAGTTATCTAATAATTAATAGCTATAAATGTTACGTTTTTTCAATTATACAGTCGAATGAATATGTTTCTATTTACTTAGATTTTTATTGATAAGTTAAAACAACATTCGAAATGAACTTCCAGCATTTTAGTAGTTGATATTTCCCTGAGATAAAAATTTTTATACTTAACACAATTTAACAGAAAACTGCTTTACTATATGAATATAACCAATTTAATGTTGTTCCCAATTCATATGGCATTTATTATGATACATTTTTCCGTAAATAATGACTTCCTTCTGGTACGTGGAGTGAGGCAAATTAACAAACAAGAGAAACAATAATATGGTCGTAATTCACCTGAGTGAGGGTAAGAAGGCATTCTGTTATGATATTTTCAAATAGAAAAAAAACAGAAATATATCAGACAACTTATCAGAATCGGTTACCATGCACATGTAGTTTGTAATTTACAATTATTTAACTCATCATTTATTTACTAAACGAATGGATTACAAGTGTTCGCAACTACTAGTTGTGCGTGAGATGGGATCAGCTATGATATGAAAAAATACTTGTAGCTTATAGTATTATGAGTTGGAGTAAAATATATTCAGGTCTAGATGGAACTCATCTACTACTTATGGGTTTACATATTTGACCTAAAGTTATAATGATATATAAGGACAAATGAAACTTTTCAGTTGTCTAGATTGAGGAAAGTAAAACGACGTTCAGATTTATCGAAAGCTGATCGGTTTAACCAATAAGCTACAGCTCTACCTACACTGAGGTCTCAGTAGATACTGGAATAGGTATATTCCATGAAGGCATGTGTACATTAGTTATGGTTGATCATCATCAACTGGAGAGACTTACAGATGTCAAACTATTAGAAGCGAATATATAAAGTGTTTTATACAGTCTGATTTGTTTCCTTAAATCTATATAAAAACAACGATTGCTCTGGTTTATTTAAAAGAAACTACCATATATTTACTTGACTTTGCTTATTTCAGAGGTAAAATTGGTTAAAACCCTTTAACTTTCCTTCAGCTCACACTACCAAACGATTTAATTAATATAATTTATTTACTACAAACAGGCTTACGTACTCAACTTCGAATCATACTGTTTGTGAGATGTCAAATAATACTACCAAACTACATTTATAAAAGTAAATGAGGCTGTTTCAAACAGGTGGCCAATTAATTAGAAGACAGACGTCTTATCCATTAAACTTTCTGTTGAATGAGTCCAACTAACTATCATAGTCACTGACCATTGAAATAATCTAAGCAAAAATTGTATTTCACCCTGAACAATGTCTATAAGATGTTGGGGATCGGTAGTCAAGTAATATACTAGATGGTTTATTTTCAAATTGATCATTGGTTATTTTGTTATATTTTCTTTTATTATCATAGTCAAATGAAGGCATTGAAGTAAAGTTCTGCGACAACTGATTGTTAGCATTGAGATAACAAAGGTGAAGAACCTTTTTCGGGTGGATTTTCTCTTTAACAAATATATACCAAATTTACTATTGATTCGACAGATTTAATGAAATTCCCTGTAACCCATCATTTTCAATGATGGATTCACTTTTTTTAATTATATGGTTTCTATTTAACTGACTTTAGTCGAACCACATAGAACATTTTCAAATTAAACTAAAATATGATAAGGAGAAATTCATAAGATTTCTTGATTGAGATCGTGAATCGATGAATAGTAGACCGCCACTGAAAACCTGGAAGCACTGGATGGCCGTTTCGTTCAAGTATGGGACCCCTCAGCAGTGCGCACCCACGATCCTAGAACCTCGGATCTTGCGCGTGAACGCTTGACCTCTAGACCTTTGAACCGGTATCCAAAGGTCTTAATATCTAACTTCAACTAATCCACGAGACTTTACGACCATCTTTTCATTGTCTGAGGTAGATACCTGTCACTACCTGACATGGATTAGATCCACAGGTCACGGCTTCTCACTAGAAAGAAGAAAATTACCTCATGATCTCAATTAAAAACTTAACGATCTACAGAACCCCATACTGAAAATTTATGAGCTTTTGAATATAGATAGAAGTACATCTTAGAGTTATATGTAAAAATAAGCAATTTAAATCCATTTTCAGGATGAATTGTACCCTTGAAAATTCAGTGAAATTTTGATAAACTTTTAAATTTTTGATACATAAACTGTGTTGTCCGTTTAACGAAAAATTAGATATTCCGTAATAATATGCTGAACTACTTTTTATGGCTAAAATATTTATCATTATTATCATTATTAATTTATTTTGTGATTAAGTCATACTGTGTAAGAAATATTGACAAATAGATTTTATATAAATGGTTCAGTTTCCTCGACATCATTTGAAGATAGTTTGATATGTTTAAAATATTGCGCGGATAAAATATAGTTTTATCATACTTTTACAGCTTATACTTTTAGAATGACTTTGTATAATCAATATTTACAAGTTAGAAAACTTGTAAGACCGAAGG